AATATTTTTCATCTTCTAGATGATGTATGTTTATATTTTCATTTAAAGTGGCGTGACATTTAAAGAGCTTTACATTCATTTTACATCATGTCTTCTTCTGCAGGTTTATTGGCTGGTTGCAAAGCAGAAATCTGATTTACTGTCTGACTCATGACCCAGAGTTTCCCATTATCTGATTACTCAAGTGCATATAAACACAGATCGGATTACTGACAATCTTTACTGCAGTTATCAGATTATTAAGTGCATGTAAAGGCACTCAGTGATGTTGATAGTCCACATTTAATGTAGTTTTCCTGGGACTTTAAAGTCAGTGTATTTAATGACTTCAGCCTTTTTGGAGCTGGATTAGTTTTACCTGAGGAGGTGCTGTACTTTGAGTGATTACTGCCATAGCAGTGCTAAAAGTGTAACTACAAACTATTCGATGGTAAAGCAAGTCGTGCAAGTCTTTGGAGCGCAGCGTTCAGATTTAATCAGCTGTCGCTCTTCTTCTTCTCTTTCTTCCTTCTTTTCTTTCTCTCAGGTTATCTGCAGTGTATAGACTCTGCTACAGTGTCTCTGGTGGAGAAATACAGTCTGCAGATCCAAACTCTCTCCTACTCTCAGGCCATCCACCCCGTTACCGGGGGCGACAGTACTATCCCAGTGGGCTGTGCAGTGGCTATAGCCTCTGATAAATGCAGCGTCCATCTCATGCTGAAGGTAGGACTGTTCATCATCCGCAATGTGACAAAGAACCTTGAAAGCCATTGTATCCTGTGGTACTAGCAGTCATGACATTACAGCATCAAAGTCAGTTAATGAAACGGATAGTTCCAGTTCTGAATTCTGATTGGCTAAGCCACACCGTAAAATGCTACATATACACACATGAATTGCACACATTCGGTAGATTTTGTATTAATGTGCCAAGTATACATGGAAAAATCTTGTATTATTAAAAAAAAATGTGTATTATCATTTAAATTATTATTAATAATGTTTTTAACCTTTTATGTCAAATTATGTGATTATAATATGATTATTTTCTATAAATGAATGACTAGACCAGCACTTGATTAATGGGACATGATTAAAAATTGCACATCTTGCTGTTTAAAAATTGCACTAATTTAAAATGCAATATCTGGTTTAATGTACCGAAAACAGACATAATTCATTTTTACATTATTTTCCAACTTCTCTTTAACACTTATAATTAAAGAAGCTGTTTTTTTATTGTCCCTTGAGCTCTGTTCTGATAGGCTGCCCTGTCAGATAGTCAGACATAGTCAGATATATGTAAACAGTGTGCACTTACCACATTAAATGGAGGAAAATTCAGTTTTCCGTGATATGGGCCGTACAAAGCCTGGTCTCTCAAGTGCCTGCAATGGTTTTCATAGCGCGACGGAAAAGTGTGAAAATGAACAATCTCCGTTTTCTCCTCAGGTATCAAATGAGACACCAGTGTTAGACCTCACGTGTCCCATGTGTGCTTATCGGTGTTTATTCTGAGCTGTTCTGTGTTGTTTTATTCTCTGCACCAGGGCTTGATTGATTTAGATAAGGAAGTGGGCAAACTGACGACGAAGCAGGGCGAGCTGGAGAAACAGATGGAGAAACTGGAGGAGAAGATGAAGAAGAGTGATTACAGAGAGAAAGTTCCAGCAAAGGTGCAGGAACTGGATGCTGAGAAGGTGAGGAGAGAGGAAACATTATCTGTCTACACTCATCTAGTTATAGCAGTAGCATGATACCAACTGTATAGGTGATAAAATATGGCAGGCATAAATTTTAGTGTGCATGGATTATAACTGTACAGTACAAAACACTAGTAGTGTTGTTATACAGATATTAAGGATGGGAATTCGGGCCAATTCTTTCGGTCGTTATTAGTCAATGATTAATTGTTGACCGACAACAAAATCACAGACTCATGAAAACATTGAACACAGCACTGTTTTATAGGCTAACGTATAATGTTACCACGTATTAATAGCCCAAGTTAACAAACATGTATGGCCTGACCAAGGCTAGCTTGGAGTTCATACGCATAGTTTAAGTAATAGTGAAGTTGGTAGCTCAGTTTTTAAGCTTTTTTATCTTGGGACTGACCGCATAGACTAACCGTTAGCTGATAAACACATTTATAGGCTCTAGCCTAAGCCAGTGGTCACCCTCCTCCTGGAGATCGACCTCCCTGCAGGTTTCACTTCCAGCCCAGATCTACCACACCTCATTCAGCTAGTGAAGGACTTCTGAAGGCGATAATTAGATGGATCAGGTGGGATCAATTAGGGTTGGGGCTGAAGTCTGCAGGAAGGTAGATGTCCAGGAGCAGGGTTAGTGACCATTGGCTTAAAGCTGCACTTAACAGAAGCAGCATGATGTTATAAAAAACTTTGCAGACGTAACACACTAAAGCAGGGGTCGGCAACCTGAATGTTAAGAAGAGCCATTTTGTCCTTTCAACAAAAATCAAACCGCCTTGGGAGCCATTTTATGTCCATTTAACCATTTTGGCTGTAAATGTTTCAGTATGTGCTGATGTGCTAGTATAGACTAAAAATATAATATAAACAAAACTCTGCTTTAAGCTTTGGCTCAGCTATAGTCACTTTTCTTACATCTCCACAGTTTCTTGTAAACGTTGGACTTTTTACGAGGCTGAAGTCGCTTCTCATTCGCCAGCTTCTTGTCCAAATTTTGCTGTTCCACCTTAAATGGTGCCTGAGGCTCCAGAATGTAACTGCTGCACCATTTAAGGTGGAACAGGAAAACTTAAAACATGAAGCTGGCAAATAAGAAACTGACTTCAGCTTTGCGACTTTTTAGTGTTTGACAGTTTCTCGTTGCAGATTAAACGTATCAGGAAACCAGCTGGAGTGATTATAAACACAGTTAAGTCCATTCGTCTCCAAATAATCAGTGTTTGTCCTAAATCTTTCTCTCTGCCGTTTTGTTAGCGACTAACTAGGTGAGGTGTTGTCTGCGTTGCTATGGTGACCAGCAGTCTGTGCGCCAATCTTCTGGGTTAAAGCGTGAATTAGTAGATGTATATTAACTCCATCGTTTCAGACCATTTATTGTTAAACTGTGTTGAACGATCAGCAGAGCTTTATTTTACTGTAAAGGAGGATTATTTTATTTTTACCTACAAATCTAATTCAGCTGTGGAGCCGCAACGAAAAACCAGAAAAGCATATGTCCTCTTTTCATAGGATCATGGGAAATTAACTTTTTAACCAAAAACATCGGTCAAACATCGGTTGGTTAATCATTAAAATCCCTAAGAGATACATACTGCAATACACTTTGCAGTATATTCCAATTTAAACTTTATCATGAGGGAAGATTGTTGACCAACTTCACTTTTTATGGACTGCCTGGTAACTTTCAAACCTTGGTTAGAAGGCCTGTTTGCATATTACAGCCTTCTACGGTATCAGTGCTGCAAAGGCCAGTAACAGTTAACAAACAGTATAATATGTATGCCCAATATGTATATTAGCCATGAGGATACTGCATTACCACTGATGTTCTGTGGAGTGTTGATGTATTTTATTCTCTCTCTCTCTCTCTCTCTGTGCAGTTGAGGCAGAGTCAGACGGAGCTGCAGAAGGTGAAGGAAGCCATAGAGAACTTCAGAAGAATGATGTAACAGATCCTCCCCTCACTCGCCTCGTCCTTTGTTAGATTTTTACACACTGATGGTTTAGCGCCCTGAATGTTTGAACGATGTGCATCCTTGCTGCTTAAACTATCTTTATGGGGAACATTAATTAAATACTAAAATTAGCTTGTATCCTGTTCAGCTGTCCTTCTTGGGTTTGGGGGGGAGGGATGCAGCAGTTGGTCATTTCTAAGCCGATAGTGATGATTGACGGTTGTTGTCTTGTTGAGGCCGATACCAAAAACTGATATTTTTGTCATATTTTAAAACAGGTTCACACTGTATGGCATGTGGTGAGAGTAAAATGTCTAAAGATGGTAGTTTCTAATATTAGCCGTCTCATTCTTATGAACGATAAGTTTTTAAACGAATCAAGTCTTTATTTGTTGAAGCTAATTGTTCAGTATGGGACTATAATCATTTTCTTGTTTTTCATTAAGCGATAAATCAGCTGCTGATATATTGAGCCCTGCTTTAGGGAGTTTGAAGAATATTGCTCAACCTCTTTTAGCTCTGGGGTGTAGGGACAGAAATGCACTGACCAGTTCGACTGTAATGAATACAGTACTGGTCAAACCGGCACATCTTTGCCTTCACGCTGATCTGAGACCACCTTTGCAGTTTTTGCATTTTCTCTTATGCTGAATAACCATAACAACTGTTGATTAGGTAGCCTAATAAATAAATCATGTAATCAAAATCACTGTCACAATTACTCTGTTTTAAAATGATTAAAATTGACCTTCACAATTAATCAACAATTAGTTTGCAATTTGCATGATGATAATGCATGTTTTAAAATCTACTGCTCTCAACCTCGGTTAAGAAACCGATCCTGATCAACTCTCCCATTTATATTTATTTATTTATTCATTCATGTAATTGTTTTTTTTTAAAGGCTTCCTAGTTGATCTTTTTCCATTTAGGAATCTTTGAAAGGCTACACATGGTTTGTCATTTATCAAGTCCAGTGTCATTGTTTATAACACTCTACTCATCAAAATAATCCTTAGATTGCTTAATTACTAATATAATCAATGTGGTGTTCCTCAAGGCTCAATCTCTGGTCCATTTTTCCTTTCGTATGCATGTTATCATCCTCGAATTCTAGACCCCACAAATCATTCAGTTTCCAGGTGTAATGATAAGCCAACCTACTAACCATCTCCATATCTGAGGATTTTTCCAAAGGAGAAAAAAAGATTGAAGACCACTTGAAGCTACAAAGCACTGAAGTGCTGTTTGATCATTTTCAATTGGAACACGAAAGAACCTGTTTCGCTTTAATGAGGGTCTTTTATCAGAAGCAGCAACGAGTCTTAAAATCTGACCATTTTCACTGTTTACATTAACCAACCACAAGGTCTCACAGCTTTATTATGCATGTTTAATACAATAACATTCAGGGCATTATTTTATGGTATGAATCAGGTTCATAAGAGTGCTCACAAAACGGAGGACAAAAAAAAAATGGACTGAGAGAAAAAGGGATTGGCTGAGTCCCTTCAGAACAAAAGCTAAGGCAGCTTGAATCTCAAGCAGCACCAACCTTCACTGTCTTCATCTTCAATAACCTTAAAAAACAGCGGTCAACTGCAACAGAAGTTTTCCCGAGGCAGATCATTTTAAAAAAAAATATCCTGAATTTAAATTAAAAAAAGAAAAAAAAAACTACCGGACCATGCAGACAACCAACAAAACACGATCTCAACAACCAGAACTTCTGACACCAAATTTCCTCTGAGGTCTTCATCTCTCTTTCCATCCCTTTCTTCCACTCTCTAAAGCTTCCAGGGCATGTGGAACTCGGAGATGGGGAGCGGAGTGCAATGTGTCGTCTCAAAATTCCTCATGTACTTTCGGGCCTGGAAGAAACAGGAAAAAGTGAGATGATCTGGACTGTTTCAGCACTAATTCTTTAAAGACCCGGTTCTTCTTTTCATTTTAGTCATCACCTTTACAGACACACTAGTTAGATCTATCCCAGCTGTTCAAACTGCTGCTAACTCAGCGTGACTGAACAGCTCATTAAGGATGAGATACAGATACAGATATTAAGGATGGGAATTTGGGCCAATTCTTTCGGCTGTTTTATATAACCAGGGCTTTAGGCTATGAGTAGAAAACGCAGGCTAACGTATAATGTTACGTATTAATAGCCCAAGTTAACAAACATGTATGGCCTGACCAAGGCTAGCTTGGAGTTGATACGCATAGTTTAAGTAACCATCAAGTTGGTAGCTTGAAGCTTTTAAGCTTTTTTGTTATAAGACTGACTACATAGGCCAACTGTAAGCTAACTAACATGTTTATAGGCAGTGGTCACCAGCCCTCCTTTCAGCAGGCTTCACTTCCAACCTCATCACTCTGAGTGACGGTGGAGGGAGGAAAATCCTATCCACCCAGAGAGAAGACAGGAACGCTCTCTTGGATTCCCAGCCACGGATGGCTGTGGCATCACTGGGCATCGCACTTGACGATACGGCCAACAGGACAGGGTTTGAGCTCTGAATTAGATTTTTAAATCAAGCTGTGCCAATTCACCTTGTATAAAAGAAGGCTTTTGGTGTTGCTTCACAACTCAAATTTTGGTGTCCGTGTTCTCCTGACCTACTTAAAAGGAACTCCATCGATTAAAAAAAAGTTAACGTCAACTAAATCATCGAGCGGTTTGGTGTGAAATGCTCCGCTCTAGAGAAACTTACCCATTTACTTTTGATCTGGAGGTATATTTAAAGATGAATTTATCAAATTAATTTCAAAATTTCTGTATAATCAAAGTAACAAGTGGTTTGGTGTGAAATGCTCCATTCTAGAGAAACAGAATTGTTTAAAAGCTCCCAATAGAAAGTTATTAAATGAAATGGTTATGAATACACAGCCTGATATCTGAGACACTGTTTTACAATAGTTTTGTGACTAAAACATATTTTAATCAATTTATTTTAACGCATTCATGTTGGAGGGACACATGAAGGGGCAGAAGAGTCCAGACAGAAAACTATTTTTTTCAGATTGACCATTATTTCACCATCATCAACGTCACTAAAAAACTCAGAAGACACAGAGGTTCACTGGTGGAGTTGGAGAGTAAATGGCTATATTTGCATTGTAAACATCACAACCTTTGGTTCATATCAGCACCAGCAGAGTAAAGAAGCCAGAGTCTGTAAGTTTCTCTACAAAGAACCATTTCAGGTCAAGTCACTCTGAACGACTTTGTTTACATCTCAACCACTGAATTATACAAAAAATTCAGAAAAATGATGGAATTCCCCTTTGAAGTGATGGTCATACAGTGTCAGAAACCACATAATCACATGTGTGTGACTGGAAGGTTGCTGGTTCAATCCAACAGGATCGTGACTGAAGTGCCCTTGAGCAACACATCAACCCCCAACTGCTCCCCGGGCGCTGCAATAGGGCTGCCCACCACTCTGGGCAAGTGTGCTCACTGCCCCCTAGTGTGTGTATGAGGTGTTTCACTGCACGGATGGGTTAAATGCAGAGGTGACTAATGTGGGACTAATAAGAGTCACTTAATCTAATCTTAATAAGCAAGTCTATATAAGGTCACTGAACAACGACACTGTTTGAGGCGAGTCCTGACATCAAGATAGTGGAACAAACTTCCTTGAAGCATTTAAATGAACGCTACTCTAGCACTTATTATAACAGTTCACTGCTGACGCAGACAAGCAACTGAGGGGACTGAAAGCACTGTGAGGTGTACAGCACTGCAACCTTATTTATTAGTACTGAGAATGTAGGCAGTGTAAAACAGTTTAATCTAGCAGAAATGACTTTTTCTCTTACCAGGAAAAGAGCGAGCTGCCGTCTGCCCTCCGCCGTCATGTCCTCACCTAATGATGCACAACAATATAATACCAATTCAGCATTTCTTCAGCATAAGTGGAGTAACGACCTTGTCTTGACAGCTGCTGCTTCACTGCTTACTGTGTTTTATGTCTTTAGCAGATGCTGATTAGAAGAAACAGTGCTGCATAGATTAGAGATAGACCAATATTGAGAGTTTCTGTTTTCAGTATCATCACAGCAAAATGTCAATATGTACAAAAAATGTTTTAAAAACAAAACAAAATGGTGAACAATCATTTAAAGCTGCAGTGTGTAAGATTTACTGGCATCTAGTGGTGAGGTTGCAGATTGCAACCAACTGCATACCGTTCCCTCACCCCTCCCTTTCCATGTATGTAGTAGAACCTAAAACTTTTCTGCCGTCGCCTGTCCCAAATTCATCTTGCTTCTTCCTGTTTTCTCTTCTTTGACGACGAGGATTCGCCCTCTTCTGCTTTCTCTTGTGCTAAATAATAAGTATGATCCTTCATTGGTCAAAAACTTGGGTTCTCAAACTTCTCACAACATAAAATGGTCAGCCAGCACCAGCAGTGACCACTGATTGTTCTTCTTTCAGTGACTTCCAACCGGCGCTACAGCGCCAGCAAATTCAAGCTACCACTTCAACGCGAAAGGCGCCTTCTAGAGCCGTGTTTGGTCTGTTCTGGGCTACTGTAGAAACATGGTGGCCCCTATGTAGATACGAAGGGTTCGTTCTGAGCTAACGAAGATACGATTCTTAGTTCCGTGTGATTATACACTTAAAAACCACTGCTTTGTATACGATATTCTATATCTCCTAATAGATCCCCCTAAATTTTACAAACTGCACCTTTAACTGAGCTTCTCTTACTCCTTTTGGAGATGCTCATATTTAAGCGTGTTCTCTGTAGAGGATGTTATTTTCACGTAGAACGACCGTATGTGTAAGTGCTGATCGGTGTGCTTACCGACGCTCCAGGGGAACGGCGTTTCTCGGTCGGTCTGATAGGACTGAAGCACAGACAGGCACCAGTCGTCATCAACCTCATACCCAATGTACACAGACTCTACAGGAGAAGAGCAGGAGAGAGACCATAATTCACTCCTCTGACAACCACCTCATTACCACGAGACATAAACAGGAGGAGCAGATGTGCCAGGAGTGAACACCCACCTTCCTCCACCTGCGACCCTGCTGCCAGCCACTGTCTGACCGCCCGGAGACTGTCCTCTGTCATTACCTTAGGATATCTGGGACACACAGGGAGAAAGTGAGTGTGTTAGACTGACCTAAAAAAAAAAAAACAAAAGTAGTGCATGTTCAGGGATTAGTAGCTCTCAGCTGTGGGATGGGGGTAATTCTGAATATGGCAAAGCACAATTTCCTTTAAAAACCTAAATAATTTTTAAAAAATGAAAGAAAAAATGATGCAAGTGCTGTTTGAGCACTGCGGCTGATATGACATCAGCTGATTGATGACATTTGAGTGTTTTTTCATAAAAGCCGCCACAGCTGTGATACTGCGCTGTGAATGAAGACGCACACACTGAGCTGTACAACAGTCTCTCTTAGCCTAACTTACCTCTATCAGCACTACAAAACATCCACATTTGAAGCTCTTCCTAGTCTGAAAAGGTCCGCCACTTGAAACAGACTATTCAGTTACATCATATCACAACATATTTCTGCCTATTTATTACTTTATTTAGCTAATACAGTAGACTAGGGGTGCAACGATTAATCAACTCAGTCGACTAAAATCGATGACCAAATTAGTTGGCAACTAATTTAATAGTCGATTTGTTGGTGACGTTATCTTGTGTTTCTCGCGCTCACTAGGAATGTTTTGACATTACCGCTTACTAGAGAGTTAACAAAGGTGCGATTGCAGCCTCGAGAACAAAAAGAGTAGCATTTCATTCTTACTCCGAAAAAAAAGGTTGCAAGTTGTGCAGTTTGTTGTGGCGAAATGCTTCTCTCTGGAATCGTTAATGAGTCGGAATGAAAAAGCAAGTAACTATTATTCACAACGACCCTGTTCACTTTACAAACAACGTTTACAGTTTTAAACACGGCATCACTGTCTTAGGCCCAGTCCCATTTCACCACTCGCCCCTACCACTCAGCCCTTAGCCCTCTGTTTTGCGAGTTCACATCTAGGGGTAGGGTGTCCTGATTTTTGTTGAGATAGAGGGGTGGGGCGAAGTGTTAGGGCTACATGGCCCTCCAAATGGAGGTTTTTCAGAGACTCCAAACAGAGTGATATGAGAAAGAAAGAAAAACCGGCAAGATGGCTGAACAAGAGACCAAAGAAACCTACAAATGTGAGAATTTTCTGTTAAAAAAAAATCACGATAACCACTGTATTATCTTAGTTTAATGTCATTTCAGTGTATTATGATTGTATGTATGATTGAAGCTGGCGAATATCTGACTTCAGCTTCATATCACTGAAGAATTAGGGGTGGGTGATAATAAATAATTGCCCCCCTCTTTGAAGGCGTATGATGCCCTAAATGTAACTAAAGCCCAGCAGTGAGGAGCTGAACTTTACCCTCCTCTGCTGTCACTGCAGACTGGCAGGGTCGCCTACAGAGCAGCGCTGGTAGCTGTTAATGAAGTAATGCTCTTTATTTGAGGACCCATTTCATAGAGGAAGATTTCAACCACTACACCTCGTAACTCCATTCCAAGGGGTTAGGGTGACACTCGAAAACAAGGGGTAGGGGTAAAAAGAAGAAATGGCACTGGGCTTTAATGTCGAGGCCACTGGTGTGTTTAACATCAGTGAACAGACAGTTATACGATAACTTTATGATACCACAATATCAAGTGAAAAATTATAATAGTAACACTAATAATAATAACAGAACACTGCAAAAATAATTATCATTATCACCAGTACTATTATTCTTGCTACTTTTGCCACTGTTATTAGTATTATTATTAGTAGTATCATTATTAATATAGCAGACAACTGGAAAGTATTCTTTATTGTGTAAATACTAACACACACTAGTAGCTTCTTCAGTATGGAAGCAGTTTTTAGTTGTTCTCTCCTGCAGCCTCTCCTCGTGTTTGTTTTCACCTCTTCACTCATCCTCAGTTCTGTTTGCTTTACTGCCCTGTGATGGACTGGCAACTTGTCCAGGGTGTTTCCTGTCTTTCGCCCAATGAGCGCTGGGATAGGCTCCAGCAACCCCCACCACCCAGAGGGATAAGCGGCTTAGAAAATGTGTGTTTGTTTCCTATATCTAACAAATATATCTCACTATTCCAGGCTTGTTGTGATGTTTACTCTGCGCCCGTTGGATGGGTTTTACCAGCTTATTCGTTCTGCTTTGTCGTGCTTAACAGTTTCCTGGTTCACCGGGCTTGAAATGACGGACCAATCACAAGTCAGAATGCTGTCCAGGGTAAACAAATGTACAGCGCTCTTTTACGAATTATACTTTTTTGAGCAAAGTGACATCTGACTGTTTATCCTTGGTTAAAGTATATCTAGAACTGTCTTGCTGCTCTGCTCAGCAGCACAAACACAGCAGCGTGTGCGAGCCTTAAAATGACCCGAAATGTGTCCATATGTAAACGTCTGAAACAGTGTAAAAGCACAACATATTTATTAAAATAGTAGCATATTTAGAAAGTAGTCTAAACAAAGACGTTCCACGCCACTGTAGAATTTTGACCTGTGCTTTACTTTAAAATTAGCTGGGTTTGTCAGGGAAGCTGCGAATCTGGCAACCCTGCGTGCTGAGAAAAAACTGTGCGACAGAGCGAAACAAAAAGTTAAAATGGAAAACTTCGCAAAGTAAAAATATGTGTGAACACGACGCAGCGTGACGGGCAGAACTGAACGGGTTCACGATGTTCCATGCACGTGGCACACGGCCAACAATACATCAGCTTCATACCCACAAAAACATACTGATTAATGTAAGAGTAGCTGCAAGCAGCATTCAGAGGTGCAGTTTGTCTAAAACACCATTTCGTTGAGTTTGAGTTATTTAAGCTGTTCGTGCTCACTTAGTTTGTTAGTTTGGAAACACCCTGGACAGGCCACCAGGGTAGACACACAGACACACCTAGGGGCAATTTAGTACATCCAATTGGCCTGACTGCATGTCTTTGGACTGTGGCAGGAAACCGACACAGACATGGGGAGAACATGAGAAAGGACTCTGGCTGCCCGGCCGGGGAATCGAACCCAGGCCCTTCTTGCTGTGAGGCAACAGACTGATGGCTGTTGTTTCGTTTAGCCTCCAATTGTAATCATTTTTGCAGGTGAGTCGTAGGATCACAAACCCCTCATTACATTTTTTGAAGGTTCGTGGCGCTACAGCTCTGAGGACTGTGTAGCACAACTGTCTGCTGTGAGTGGAGGACACGGCTGCTACTACTGCTTTTAGCCAAGTTACACTTAAGCGAGGTTTAAAGATCATAGAGTGCCATACAGTATCAGAAACCACATAAGACAGTCTACTTGAGATTACTCAACAACTCAACACGGTCGGAGGGAAGTGTGTGACGTGCTGAAAGAAGTGAATGCAGTGCAGGCCCACCTGTGCTGGAGCAGCCTGAGCAGCAGATCATTGCCTCTGTTGGACATGATGTCTTCTGGTCCCCTGAATCAGAGCAACAGCAAAACCACACTCAGTTCAGCTGACAAATAAACCCAAACACGGTAAAGATCGGGCTGTTCTGCGTTCATAAGGACTCACGTGGTTGTGATGATTTCGTCTTTGGTTCTTCTGATCAACAGCACTGGTCCCTGGTACCTGGAAAACGGTCAGCTCAGTCATGTGGGTGCAGTGCTCAGCCCAAGCATATCATCCGAGCAGATCTCTAATGTGTTAAATGAGTGTTTGATGTGCTGGGTCTTACTTGCAAAGCTGCTCTGCATTGTTCAAGTTCATGTACTGCCGGACTGTGTGGGTCACCAGCGGCCCTGTTTCAGCACACAGACACACACAGTGCACAACTATCAGGCACCTTCTGACAGCAGAGGCCATCACAACAGCTGTAAGTGCTTTTTATTATCAGTTGTGAGAAGAAATGAAGGACGGGAGGGACACTCACTCCAACTCTCCGGCATGACCTTCAGGGCCAGAGGCAAGAGGTCATCAAACGAGGCGTCCAGAACCAGCGCGCGGATCTCAGGGTACGACATCACCGCCCAGCTAGCTGAAGCAGAGACGGAAAGGTGCAATAAATACATACGATAACAACAGAGCAAACATTAAGCATATAATGAGTTTTGTAATTACAATTATTATTATTATTATTATTACTACTATTTTTAAGTCTGAATAGATATTCAGTTTCAATAATAATGTTGCTGCAATTATAATCATTGTGTCATTATTATAATATAATACTAACATGCTAAAATACTGATGGTGCTAATTATACATATATAATTCTATTTAATTCTTAGAAATGTTATGTAAATATAAATATTTTCAAATATAAGTATATGAATATAATACTCAAACTAAATACTAAATAATACTAATAGCAGGTCATTATTATTAACTACTATTACTAGCATTTAATTATATAATCAATTTCAATAATAATAATAAAAATAATGTTTATGTTGCATTAATAATTATATCATTATATAATCGCCATAATAACAATACAAAATTATTATAAAATGATCATATAACAAACAACAATAATAGTTTATGTAGCATCTTTTACACTCAGCTCTAATGTGTGATACATGATATGCACAAATAAAGACCCATGAAAAGACATGATATTAAAAATAAATTATGCTAAAGATTAACAATTCAACGATTGAATTAAACGAAGTATAACTGCACTGTACATTAGAGTAACTGGTCAATAATCTACCTGTGAAGCCCCCTATTGACCAGGCGTACACAACAATGTCGTTTAACTGGAAGCCCAGCTTGTGCACAGCGAACTGAATCACCACGTCCATGGCGTTGGCCTCGTTCTGAGGGAACGGCACGCCCTGAGCAAGAGAGGGACAAAGACGTGAAGACAGACGGCTTTAAAGAGAGACACTGCTGCGCTGTCAGACTGCTGCTACTTAAAGGGCAAATGACAGATGACGACTCATTAGGGTCATTACAGAGTAATGGGGTTAGTGTCTTAGGGTCAACCTGAGACGGTGCTTCGGTCTACGATGACAGATGCACCGAGTCAGGCTCTCTGACCCTGAGATAAGCATCAGGTAAGCGGTGAAACCTGAGTTTCCACATAGCAGAGTGTTAAAGCACAGCCACAGCAGCACTGTGTTCATCTGACAGAGGCCAGCTTACCGTACTGCCCGCAAAGCCTGGATGATTCCAGCCCAAAACTGAGTATCCACCTGGACAGAGAGGCGCAAAGAGGCAAATCATGAGCTGTTTTATGAGGCTTTTCATGAAATTAATATCATTTAGGGTTCAGGTGAGCTCAGCTATCAGTTTCCCCCTCTTACTCCACATGTAGTCCATCAGACAAGACATGTTTGGTGTCTGAAGTCACTTCTTTGCTTTTACACTGGAGGTGCAAGGCTAATTAAGGCCCAATCCCATTTCACCCCTCGCCCCTACCACTGAGCCCTTACCCTCTGTGTTGCACATTCATGTCTAGGGGTAAGGTGTCCCGATTGTTGTTGAGATGGCGAGGTAGGGAGAAGTGTTAGGGCTACGTGACCCTCCAAACGGAGGTTTTTCAGATACAGTCCAGACAGAGTTATGAGAAAAAAAGAAATTAAAAACGGCAAAATGGCTGAACAAGTGACCAAAGAAACCCACAAATGTGAGAATTTTCCCCATTAAAAATTACGATAACCACTGTATTATCTTAGTTTAATGTCCTTTCAGTGTATTATGGTCCTTTTCTTCATAACAAGTACAGAAAATAGCTAGTAGTGTGTTGATGTCTCAGTAGCTAGCTAGCTAATTTTCCCATTCCACCTTAAATGGTGCAGCAGTTACATTCTGACCATTTCATTACTTGTTAGCTGCTACATAACACCTGGTAGCTTCAGGTACCAAACAAGTCTTGGCTGATCAGACACATTCTGGGTTAAAGGGAAAACTGTGAAAATTTGCCTTTGGGCCAAACAACTGCTTTAAATCCTGACCAGACTTACCGTCCAGTGGAGTGTTCATGCAGCCCACCTCGTAGAAGCCTGCATTCCCCTCACAGCAGATCACCTGTAACACAACGTATTTAGAAGTATACATCCAGAGGTGGGCAGTTCTCATGACTCATTTACATGGATTTGTCCTTTCCTGAGTACATAAGTATGTAATCATACAAAGTGCAGAAGTATATAAAGTGAGTAAAGAAATCATTCAGTTACATTTTAGTCCTTTGCTTTGTTTTAACGTTCAATTCTGTTTTGTTGGTTCAGCTCACACCTCTGACTTTGGAGCTCTGACATTATATTTCATCATATAGAGAAGAACAGAGTATCAAACTTCAGTTTCTATGCTGATATATGCTGGATAAATCCAAACCGTGCAGCACCAGAAACACAGGTTTTCTCTCCCCAAGGTTCTTACCAGAGTTTTGCCGTTTGGTACTCTTTCTCCCCTCCGGTCCACAAACATAGTGTCGATCTCATTTCCATCACACGATATCAGCTTGTTCCGCTGTCCTTCGTACTGCAGCGAGCACAGAGAAACAAACACTCATTTTACCTGAACACAACAAGTTTAAACTGTCCTGACTTTGTAGTAAATCCAGAGAAAAATCTGTTCTAATCTACAGAACCAGGAAAACACTCCTGAGCTTTTTACAAAAACTTTCATTTTTTAAAACTGAAAGAGCAAAAGCATCTCATTTTGGTTACTGAGGTTAAGACTGGAGTTTTAGAGGTTTAGAACATTTGTATTACATATATATATATAGTACATAAGGGACATGTTACATATAGGTAATTACATTTATAACAAATAAGATATCGTTATATATATCGTATATATGACATCTTTATTACACATAAGTATGTATATATAACATATATAGGACATATTATACACAGGTACATCAGTCCATCAGCTTCTCTGCATACTTTGTTACCCTGTTCTTCAGTGGTCAGGACCCCCACAGGACCCCCAGGTATTATTTGGGTGGCGCATCCACTGGTCTGAGTGGATCAGACACAGCAGTGCTGCTGGAGTTTTTAAACACTGTGTCCACTCACTGTCCACTCTATTAGACACTCCTGCCTTGTCAGTCCACCTTGTAGATGTAAAGTCAGAGACAGCAGTTCATCTGTTCAGGACGCTGCCCACAGGACGCTGTTGGCTGGATATTTCTGGTTGGTGGACTATTCTCAGTCCAGCAGTGACACTGAGGTGTTCAAAAACTCCAGCAGCACTGCTGTGTCTGATCCACTCAGACCAGCGCAACACACACTAACACACCACCACCACGTCAGTGTCACTGCTATGTTGAGAATGACCCACCACCCAAATAATACCTGCTCTGTGGGGGTCCTGACCACTGAGGTGCAGATGGATGGTGTCTTTTTATATTTACCTCCTCAATAAGTCTGGCTTGTCCCTGTTGCAGCATGGGTCTCATGGCCTTCTGCAGCAGGCCAACAGAGCCTGGGTACAGCATCCTCCGGCCAAACGAGTGAGCTATAAGATAGCTATACACACACACACACACACACACACACACACACACACACACACACACACACACACCATTTATAAGTATCTATAAATAATATCTTTCTCTGAAACTGCAGTTATTTGTGATTACATCTTGTTTTTTTCACAATATCTGTATTAATGACTCAGTTTATGCTGCAGCTAACTGCTGCTTAATTTCTCTTCAGCACGATCAAAAACAGAAATTATATTCCTGCAGCCTGTTTGGTCAGATTCTGAAGAGGAATGTGTCCAGTCCAGTGGATCCAGTGTTATCACAATAACACAATCTCTCTCGTTTTACTTCTTAAGGGAACGTGGTAGTAGTGTTTGTACGTTTGTGTTACCTAATGATGTGGCACGGTAGTGTTCGTACTGAATTCAGCAGACTGTCTGTGGCCCCTCTGTGTTTGGGCTCCGGCTTCAGCAGCGAGACGCCCCCCTTAGACAACTTCCTGTTAACACAGCAACAGTCCGTCAGCAACAATGAGTAGGAATGGTTATCCAAATATACAAATGTTTAAACTTAAAGGGGAACTCCACCGAATTTGCAAAATAATCATTCAAGCGTTTAGATGTAAACAAAATCATTCAGAGTGCTTTGGTGTGAAATGCGACCTTCTAGAGAAATTTACAGTCAAATTTGTTCACCATTGGTACTAGGAACCAGACGTCCGTATGTGTACACTACAAAATCACAATTTTATTTGCAATACAAAATGACCAGTGAACTTACATGTGTCTTATAAGGTTTTATATGTCATGCTGATAATGTTTTTGGGTACTATTTTTCCTTGCAACGCCCTGCATGTACCTCTCCACCCCGCACGCCTTTTGTGCTGTTTCGGTTGGCGGTGTTGCGTCACACGGTGTCAGCAAAACTCAGAGCTTACTGTGAGAAACATTATTCAACAGAGGAACCGTGACAGACCACAGCTTCACCTCGCTGTCCTACCCCGTAAACAGGTGAGTACTATAGTAAACAGGTAGTCCTATAATGGTGACCAACTCTGACTCGGTAAATTTCTCTAGAAGGGCACATTTCACACCAAACCACTCTGAATGATTTTGTTTACATCTAGACCATTGAATGATTAAGCCATTTTGCAAAATCGGTGGAGTTCCCCTTTAAAACTTAGTATCGTTTCTTTAAATGGGGAATCTGAATAAGGCATGTGTGGTCCGGGATAAAAAAATAATTAATTAAAGAATTAAATAAATTGTGTTTGATCCATTGTAAGTTTTTGACTAAGAGTACAGAGCAGTAGAGAATGTGAGGAGTAGCTTATAGTCCACCAGACACCAAGAGAAATTACCTCCAAACAAAGCTGTATATGGAAGATTTTACAGAGCAAGTTGTTCTCATCACTGTTTTATAGATCAGCTCAACCATCAGGTATGGCCCACCTCTTACAATACAATGATAAATCTTAAACCTTCTATATCAATTTTTTTAATCATCAATGCTTCTAATGTTTTTCTCTTTGAATATATCTGTTTATATATACACCTAAATAAACTGCAGAAACACAGTCTTATATAGTCTGGAGGTGCAGCTACCCAGAATTCTTTACAGTTTTGATTTCTGTTTATTACCTCTTACTTCTCAAAAGTTCTATTATGGATGCATTTTGTATGTTTGTGTTATTTTAGCTATGATAGAGTTTTGTGCTCAGATTCATCAGTTCAGCCTGTATTTCTGTTACATTAATATGGACCATTAATATTGGGTTCTGCAGTGGAACATCTGTTTCTTTTGTCCTTTCGCTGGGAGATTGCGAGTTTGAATCCTGGCGCTGCCACAACAAAAAAAAAAAGTCGCTAATGTTTTCAAATGCTAATAAAATATAAGGTCGCCAATATCGGCCTGATAACATCAGCCTACCAAATATCAGTCGAGGCCTAATCTGGATGTCAAAAATGATTAAAGTATCCATGTCAATCAGCAACACAGACAGACAGACAGATTATAGAGCTGTAAAAGTTTGAACACTCCCAATTCCAATTCCACTGCATGGTACCGTCTCGACTCGCCTTTCTTGGTTTTCCATTTGGCAAAAGTTGGCACCTGGTGCCCAGTGCCTCCATCGAGGTTCCAAGCGAGCTGAGCCCATACCAAAGGGTGAGGTAAAAGCGCTACAGACGTACTGATTGGTCGGAGAGAATCACTAAACACATATGCTAGTGTTATGCATATATGAGATGCTAGCAGGCTAGCGTAGCCTCTTGCATCGCCTTTTTTGAGCGACCAGAATCGTCTGAACTCTGATGTAGTTTTTTCCCAAAACTCTCCAGTTTTTTTTCTTCAACAGTCTTTTGTGTTGCTGCCATCAGACTATTCTGAACAAAATTTGTCTTCCTCACGTCTTGGCAGTTTCATTTGGCGTCGCTATGACGACCAGCATTGAGGAGGCGCTATACCTGCAGTGGAACACAAAGTGGCTGGTACCAAAAGCGAGTCGAGTCGGTACCGTGGAAAAGTGGCTTTAACAATATACAGTGCATGTCATTTGTCTAGAGATGCCCACACTTCTGTACACGACTGTTAAAGGACACACACACACACACACACACACACACACACACACACACACACACACACACACACTTACGGATTGCTGACTTCTTTCCAACTGAAATCTGCCGGCCAGTGTGAGAAGTCAAAGTCATAGCTGGCGAGTTTTTTCTGAAGGGGGCGGAGAACAAAAAGCGCCACAATTAATTACGTCAGTGCTCTGAGTTGGTCTCAGTGGAGATGCTGCTATGACGTTGCCGAGGACTCACCTTGTTGCTGGGCGTGTGGTTCCTCCTGGTCTCCTCCAGAATGCTGATGAACTGAAGATACTCAGGGTTTCTCCAGCGACCCCAGCCTACCAACACACGCAGTCAAATAAGACTGCAGGTTATTCTACTGACCAGGTCCAAACTACACCACAGATTTTTCAGGACAGCGAATGTCCAGGGTGGCAAACTCTGGATGATCTGTATTTTATCATAATTATTACTATATTAATACTATATTACTAAATTTTTATTGAAATATCAGTACTTATACTTTTACTCGATTACATTGTCATACCTTAGTATTTGTTGCAAACCTCAAAGACCTGGAGATGTTTCTCCTGCCAATCATTTGATTTGTGTTTTCATTAATTATTTTTTATCAAAACATAAAATCCAATTTATTTCAGTGTAAAATTTAAATCAAATTTGCCACAACTATGCTAACTTATCTTTCAGGATTAATAGTAAACTATTTCCTCAACAAAAATCTATGTATTAATATGTTCTAAAAATCTGTTTTTTCTTTTTACTTTTATATACAGTCGTATGCAAACGTTAGGGCACTCTTGGTCAAATTCCATGTTTTGCTGATTTATGAAAATAAGTTAACATATCTTCGACAGAGAACACAGTTTTGCACATTTTAATACACAATTACTGTTTATTTGCTGAATTTAATGTGCTGGGAATTTTTTTTTAACCTTAAATGTGGCCTGAGCAAAAGTTATGGGATATTTTATATTTTATGTATTTTTTCCAATATGTTAAACTCAACACATACATAGAAATGGTGCACAATCATATTTAAGTGAGTTCTTACCAGTAACAGTTCAAACCTTTGCATACGACTGTATTTAAGTATGTTTAAATGTAGATACATTTTACCTCCGTGCCTCAACTTTTATTGAATAAAATTTTGATGCATATTTTTCAGCACAATTTCTCTGTACTTTTTCCACCCTTGATAACGTTTGCTTAAAAATACCTATTCCTTACTACCTTATCAAATCGTATTATGACAGAGCACTAAAGCACTGTATCATCATTAGACTTGAAGGCATTTTTATTGTACAAAATATCATATTTCACTTTTCTGAGGTTTCGCAAACAAGGTATAAGCAACAAAATGCACCAGCACATCAGCCACATTTAAAAAAGGCTCTGGAAAGTTGACTATAATGATTGTTTGAGATTTAGTGTTTGTAAAACAACCTAATCAAGAAGAAACAGAAGGAAAAACTGAACTATCAGTAAAAAAAAATTAATAAAATAATACGACGGCATAATGTATTGAGGTCTAATCAGCCAACAATCACTGTGCAGTTTATGCAGTTATTATATGCTTTCAGAAGCACTAACGATACTAAAAAAATATGCTAAAACATGTATCGTGACAATGATATCATATTGCTTATTGTCAACCTGGAATCAAACAGAAAATGTTGTGAAGAGTTATGATACTGTATAAATCAATCAGCTCACCTCTTAGACAGGCTACTCCCAGCAAACACACCAGCACTGTGCCGACATACTGAGTGACCGGAACTAACTTGCTGCTGCAGATATAGCCTGAAACACAGCAGGTCAATATTTCATCAGAGAAAGTTACTGCTAACAACGTTCCACAGTTCCAACCTCGCGATGTGATTGGCTGAGAAGCATGTATTACTTTCATTCTTAACATCATTTGAGCACAGCAGCTGCCCACATTGTGGGAACATTTCATGATGAATGGACCAACAGAAATGCTCCAAAAACGACTTCATACTGACTTACATTAAAAGTTAAGAATGTTCTTTGCCTTCTCCTGTAAAGCTACTATTTTAGAGACACCTGTTTTCTTAGATAGCAATAAAATGTAAGTTAATAACTGCATAGTTGTTTACATCACTGTATTATGACCACCTCCTTGTTTCTGCGCTCATTGTCCATTTTATCAGCTCCACTTACTGTATAGGTGCACTTTGTAGTTCTACAGTTACAGACTGTAGTCCATCTGTTTCTCTGCATACTTTGTTAGCCCCCTTTTACCCTGTTCTTCAGTGGTCAGGACCCCCATGGACCCTCACAGAGCAGGTACTATTTGGGTGTTGGATCATTCTCAGCACTGCAGTAACACTGACGTGGTGGTGTGTTAGTGTGTGTTGTGCTGGTACGAGTGGATCAGACACAGCAGTGCTGCTGGAGTTTTTAAACACTGTGTCCACTCACTGTCCACTCTATTAGACACTCCTACCTTGTCAGTCCACCACTCAGACCAGCGCAACACACACTAACACACCACCACCACGTCAGTGTTACTGCAGTGCTGAGAATGATCCAACACCCAAATAGTACCTGCTCTGTGAGGGTCCATGGGGGTCCTGACCACTGAAGAACAGGGTAAAAGGGGGCTAACAAAGTATGCAGAGAAACAGATGGACTACAGTCTGTAACTGTAGAACTACAAAGTGCACCTATATAGTAAGTGGAGCTGATAAAATGGACAATGAGTGTAGAAACAAGGAGGTGGTCAGAATGTTACGCCTGATCAGTGTACATTCAGTTTACATTCTAGAGTCTGTATTTCTGACCTTTGTTCCAAAGTGAAAAAATGACGAAAGTGGCAAAAAAATGCCAAAAAACTATTTTTCTTTCTTCAAAACAAAACTGTGTGCATAACAATGACTTTGAATCCAATTCAAATCATAATATAATATCTCTCATTTTGCTTACAAGCTAAAATGTGGTATGAAAGACTAGAATCCACAGAATCCACTTCATTTCACAAGATTTCTTAGCTTGTTTGATTGAACTGAGAGAGCAAAACGACTAATACATAAGTAGACAATCTACTAACTAACCAATGCAAACAGTTACAGCACCAAAGTGTTGGAGTACACTCTTAAAAAAGAAGGTTCTTCAAGGGTTCTTTAGTGAAGGAAATCGTTCTATATTGACCGTGAACAATCAAAGAAAGATTAAGATTAAAGGGTTCTCTGCATCGTGAAACGGCTCTTCAGATTGATGAGGAATGTGCTATCGGTGGTTCTATATAGAACCTTGCTGAAAAGGGTGCTGTATAGCACCAAAAAGCGTTCTTCTATTGCAAGCCTGACATCTTAACAATAGCAGAACCCAGAACCATTTTCAAAAAAGTTCTACATAGAACCATATACAACACAGCATGAAATGGTTCTACATGCTTAAAAAAAAGATGGAAAGTAAAGGGAATGGTTCTATTTAGAACCATGAGTTATGTATAGAATCATTTTATGCTTAATTGGTTCTTTGCATGGTGAAATGGTTCTTCAAAGTGATGGAGAATGTCTTGTATATATGAAATGGTTCTATGTAGCACCAAAAAAAGTCCTTCTATTGTTGTGATGTCAAGCTTGTAACATTAGAAGAACCCTTTGTTGGCGCCACATAGAACCATTTTCAAAAAGGCTCTATACAGAACTGCATACAACACATTCTCCATCTCAAGAACCATTTCACAACAGAAAGAACCCTTTATGCATGTATAGAACCATTTCATGCTTAAAGCGTTCCTTGCATTGTGAAATGGTTCTTCAGATGGAGAATGTGTTGTATATGGTTCTGTGTAGAACCTTTTTGGTGCTATATAGAACCATTTTCAAAAAGGTTCTATACAACACATTCTCCATCTCAAGAACCATTTCACAACGCAAAGAACCCTTTAAGCATTATATGGTTCTATACAGAACTAATGGTTATAAACAGAACCATAGCTTTACTAATGAACCCTTGAAGAACCATCTTTTCTAAGATTGTGTGTAATGGTTCTTCAAATTGATGGAGAACGTGTGTATGATTCTATACACTCTTAAAAAAGGTTTCTTCAAAGATTCCTTAGTAAAGACAATGGTTCTGCATAGAATCCTGATTACTCAAAGAACCATTTGCATGCTTAAAGGGCTCTTTGATGATGCAAAGAACCCTTTAAACACAGAGACGTCTTTTTGAGTGTTCATGGTTCTACATAGAACCATTTACTTTACTACAGAACCCATCATTTTTAAGTCTACAGTACAAATGCTTTTGTTCTGCCAGGCTAAAGAAGCTAATACGACACCGTAAATCACATTTAATTACCTTTCATTCACAGCGACTCAGCAGCTGCGCAGCTCCTGCAGTTACTCAGCGATATTCTATGTTTCTTCAACAGCAGCATTATATCATATATATATATATATATATATATATATATATATAACCTTTTTCAGTCGGTTCCTAAACTAGTCATCTAACCGGAACAGAGGATTCGGTTCCACAGCGGAGCCCATCTGTACGAAGCCACCTGACAAAGAGCTACATGTGATGCGGGCTATTACACAGACGAAGCGCGTTAAAGAGATTAAGCAAACAGATGGAACAGGCCGATGGTGTAACAGTATTATTAACACATGACTCATTTGATATGATTAGACTCAATGAGACAACCATTATACCGTAAGCACTTCGTGTAGTGAAAGAAAACCATCATCTATTATTCATGTCCACATCCTCGTCGCTGTGGACGATCTGGGAGGTCCCGAGAACTGGATCTGGAACCTGGGTTAAAGATAGTCTGGCCAAAAATTGTACTTTTTGTCAGCAGAGACATATTTGGTGTCTATAGTTGGTTTCACTAGTTCTGCACTGGAGCTACGATGCTATTGTAGCTGACAAGTAATAGAAACTAATGTCCACCAAACTTGGACATTTGTCCCTTTACAGATAACAGTGTGTCATAGACGCTAGCAGGGCTGCACGATAAATCGTAATTTTTTTATCATTATCATGACGAGTTTCTGTGATAAACACATGGCGAGAGCGGCGATGCCAGAACAGATCTGCCTCAGAAATGGCTCTTCAGATTGATGGAGAACGTGCTGTAGATGGTTCTATATAGAACCTTTTTAAAAAGCGTCCTATATTAGCACCAAAAAATGGTTCTTCTATTGTTTCGATGTCAAGCTTGTTACAACAGAAGAACCCTTTTTGGCACTATATAGAACATTTCACATTGCAAAGAACCTTTTTATTATGCCAAGTAGGAGTGGGAATCTCTAGGCACCTCACGATTCAATTACGATTCAGAGGCTGTGATGCGATTATAAAACGATTATCGATGCATCTTTTTTTTTCTATACAGGATTTCTATTCTCTCACTGTGTGACGACCTGGTACTTTTAAAGCAAAGTATCTGTAATGATCCATAATGAATTTACTTCCAATATCTGTCATTAATAAAACAAATGGAAGTGATGTGGCAAGTGAACTAGAAGGCTCTCATTCAGTGCTCTTAATTGGAGCACAAGATGCTGCTGCCACTCATCTGTGATAAAATGCGCAGTTACAGTGAAATAAGATCCTGTGGTGATGGATGTCCACACAGCACGTTACAGCTTTTCGACCCGTTTTCTTTAGTGATTTTATAACTTCGGTTTTGGTCTCGTTGTAAAGAGTGGGGGGGTCGCTGTGTCAGTAAAGTATCTTTGAGATGGGACGTGTGCAGCATAGCGCGAAAGCCCTGGTTCTCAACGACTGAGAACTGACGTGCAGACTGCAGGTCATACAGCAACGCAGACTTGTCTGGCTAGTACTGAACAAAAAGGCAAAGAGACAGACGAACATTTGGAGACAAATGGACTTACTCGTATTTATAAGCAGCACAGTTGGTTTCCTGGTAAGTTAAATCTGCAACGAGAGACTGTCACACACTAAAAAGTTACGAAGATGAAGTCGCTTCTCTTTCGAATTTTCCTGTTCCACCTTAAATGGTGCTACATTTACATTCAGCGCCTCTGTCAGAATTTAAGGTGGAACGGGAAAATTCGAACAAGAAGCTGGAGAATAAGAAGCAACTTCAGCCTCATAAAATGGTCAAACGTTGAGAGACCTTTTACAAGAAACTGTTCTACTTTTGAGGAAAAGTGTCCAGGCGGAGATGGGAGGAAAGCGGCTAAAGCTTAAAGCAGAGCGAAGAAAATCTGAGTTTTCTTTTTATATTTTTGTCCTATACTAGGACATCAGCACATACTGACACGTACTGGACATTAAATGTTGCGGCTCCCAAAGTGGTTTGATTTTTGTTGAAAGGACAAAATGTCTCTTCTTATCATTTGTGTTGTGACTCCTGACCTAACCTGGCTTTAATGCAGAGGGAGCCGGTCGGATTTCTCACTCTTCCAACTGTGTCTTTGTTATGTGCCGCCGCAGACTGTCCGGGCGTTGCACTTCCGCACTTCCAAGTTCCACCTTTTGCGTTCCGTCAACATCACGTTATAAATTAAATATTTAGAAAATTGATTTTTGACATTCGTGAACGGATTCAGAATCTTTCACGTCTGCATCGCTATGCATCTAAGAATCGATTTTTCCCCCCACCCCTAATGCAAAGGGTTCTTTGAGGGTTTATGGTTCTACATAAAACCATTTTCTTTACTAAAGAACCATTATTTTTAAGTGTGTACATCTGCAGTAAAGAGGGACCTTTATACGTTATATTTCTGGCTAAACCCTTTATTTAGTTGTGTGTTTACCTTTTCTATACAGATAGCAGAGAATGAGAGGTGAGCTGTAATAGGACAGGGACCACAGCGCTGAGGCCTGCAGAGAAAAAACAAAACAGGACTTTGGTCACTCTTAGGACAGACATATGACTCTCAATGCAAACACATGAATAACAGGTCTTAAATGTATGAAACCTGAATGGTTATATTTCTATAGTCTCACTTCAGACAGTGAAGACGTGGTTTCTTATGCAACAGGAAGGTATATCATGACTTAAATGTTTAATATCTTACATCATATTAGTCAAGAAAGTGGGCGGGGCTTGTCCTATCATAGTAAAGTGGAAGGAAAGGGCCAGAGTAAAGTGGGCAGAGGGAGGCGGGGCTTATCCGATTATAGAGTGTGCTCCATGTACCTGCCCAATCTCGCTGCATTTTACTTGGCGGGAAGGACGGAAAACCTCATTTAGACGGAGTGTCAGCAGCGTTTTTATATCGGCTCATAAGTAAATTGTTGCATAATTGTAAACTGTCAACGATTAAAATAAAAATGTCACTAGAAAAGTCACAGAAATTGAGATTTTACCAATATTTGCCAGGGATTTCCTGTGTTCTGATATGATGCAACTCAGCTGGAGCTTTTGAGCGGCAAAAGAAGCACGCACCGGATCGTGTGTCGTTTATAAATGGAGTGAAAAACAAGCCCACATGGCACAACCGGCACACATGCATGGTGGATACAGCAGTGCTATAAAGTAATTTAAGAGATTACAGCGGGTGGGGCATATTCTATACACACCCATCCTCAAACAGCTGTTTTTATTTTTTTTCATTTTTTTATTTCTGGGGCTTATTTTGTTAGAGCTCAGGCACAGCAGTCATTAAAAAATGTTCTGAGCTTTTATCGGGAGGAAAACCTTGTATCTCCAAAATGGTAACTTTACAGTAGATGGAAAAAACCTACTTTACTTTTAATGTAAGTCAATGGAACCAGAATTTTTTTGAAGGAGATTTGGGCCGTTTCCTTTGGTCCATTTATTATGAAATTTACATACAATGTAAATTTCAAAGAGACATTTTCAAATTATGTCAAAAACTGACTAACGATACAAGGTTTTCTTCCGACAGCAGCGATATGTTTAGTAGTTGTCAGGAGTGGGACTACAGCGGTTGATCTTATTCATTTTAATCCTGTTTATTTTCATTTATTATTTTATATTATTTACTTTATATATTTATTTATATATATATATATATATATATATATATATATATATATATATATATATATATATATTTTACTTTTTTCATTTAAACAAACGCGTGATGTTTCCAAAGTCGGTGAGTAATCGTGCTGAATAACCCTAATCTTAACATCGACCAAAACAATCATGATTATGATTTTTTGCCATAATCGAGCAGCCCTACCCCAAACTTACCCAACCGAGGATGTTGTCCGTGTGCCTTTCCAAACTTCTTGGCAGGTAATCCCAACCCTGAGAATGAACAGGAACATTTTTTATTTTAATTAATTAAACCAGATATTAAATAAGCTAAGTAGCTCGTTTCGATTATCTTGATAACAGACTCAGTATCTGAGCTTCCAGCTGTATACTTAAGCTATCTTACTGTAATACAGCACAACCTTGAAGTTCACACTGAGACGCAGCTTCCTATTCGCTGGCTTCTTGTACGAATTTTCCCGTTCCACCTTAAATTGTCACAACTGCTGCACCATTTAAGGTGGAACGGAAAAATTCGAACATTTCAGCCTCGTCACACTGAGACAAGTTAGAGACACCCTTTTTCTATTTAAGAGCTAAAACAACACCTAATTAAACACGTTTCCAATTTATTTACATTCATTTATAACTGGCATTAGCCTGCTGGCTAACGCTAGCTAGCTATCCCCTTCACTGTCAACACAAAATCCTGCACTTCCGGTGCTGCTCGCACGAATTGAAAGCCAGTTTTCAGCCGTTTCGGGAGCTGTTAGAGAGGAGAAGTGTCCATACCCGCCTCCCTGCTCTTCCTTCGGGTCGGGGCTGCTGAGGTGGACGGTGAATCCGATGCAGGCTGGGCCCGAACAGGCAGCGGAGCCACAACCAGCCGGCCATCGTTTCTCGGTCGACGGCTACGGAAGCCGGAGTGGCTGAATTGAGCTAATTCAAAACATTCCAGCTCTGTGCGCTAAAGGTGGCGGTTGTCGGCAGGGATGGGTTGGACGATACCACCGATTCGATCCGATACAGAGGCTGCGTCCCGATATCGATACTTTTAATAGCGTCTGTGCACATAAAGGGAGATTACCCTAGTTTCTTTTCACTACTATACAGAATGACATACAGGCTACACATTGTAAAAAGATGGCTCTAAATGGGTTCTTTAGTAAAGGCAATGGTTCTATTTAGAACCACAAGTTCTATATACACTCTTTAAAAAGATCGTTCTTCAGATTTTAGTAAAGGCAGCGGTTCTATTTAGAATCACAAGTTCTACATAGAAACATTTTGCTGTTGTCAGAGGAAAACCTTGTATCTCCATTTTTGCCGTTTTTCAGTTTCTGACACAATTTGAAAATGCCTGTTGCCCTTTACATTATGTATATATAATGTATATATAATGTATATCTCATGAAGAATGGACCAAAGGAACGTCCCAAAATTACTTGGAAAAAAGACTGGTTCCATTGACTTACATTAAAAGTAAAGTAGGTTTTTTCCTTCTCCTGTAAAGTTACCATTTTGGAGATACGAGTTTTTCTTCCTTTGCATGCTTAAATGGTTCTTTGCATGGTGAATAGTTCAAAACAAATGTCTTTCTGTTTATTTTAAAATTAGGTTTTTCAAACTAATGTCCAGCTGCCACATGTTGCCCACTGACTTCTATTATAGCTATGCAAGAAATTAACAGTGTTACATGTTTGAACGAACCCAATATTACACAAAGCTTATAAAACAAATAAAAAAGTGCAGTTGTGTCCAAACATTTGTGGCCGAATTCCACATTTCAAACATATTATTTTGATTTGGGGTGCAAAAAAGTAAGTGAAAACCTTTTAAAAATAAAATATAAAATACTTCATTTTTGATTAACTTAAAAAATAGTAATTGTGGTATGTGCAAAAGTTTGGATGCCCTTGCAGTTGTAAAGTCTCAAAATCAAATTAACTTGTTAGGGCTTGATCAATTCTTTGGGCAGGTCAAGAACTGACTAAGAACTGACTGGCTAAAACTCAACAACCATGGGCTCCTCTAAGCTGCTGTCTGAGGATCTGAAAATAAAGCTAATTGATGCCTTCAAAGCAGGGAAAGGCTATAAAAAGATATCAAAGCACTTCCAACTCAGAGTTTTCACTGTCTGAACTGTCATTAAGAAATGGCAGTTAAGGGGAACTGTGGAGGTCAAGGCCAGATCAAGGCAGTGTAGGTAGAACTGCAGCCAGAACTGTTCATATGCTGCTCAAAAAGGCAAAGCAAAACCCCCACATGACAGCAAAAGACTTGCAGGAACGTTTAGCTGATACAGGAGTGGTGGTGCACTGTTCTGTGCAGCATTGCTTGCACAAACATGATCTGAATGGAAGAGTCATCAGAAGGAAACCTTAACAGTGACCTCTTAGAAAAATGAACTCTTTGGCCATAATCACCAATGGTATGTTTGGAGAAAAACGGAGCAGCATTTGATGAAAGGAACACCTTGCCAACTGTTAAGCATGGCAATGGATTTATTATGCTTTGGGGTTGTGTGGCAGCCACTGGCACAGGGAACAGGTAAACAGGAAGGATGGGTAAAAAGTCCTAAAATAAGAACAGAGGGACTCGTAGCTGGCTACAAAAGGTGTTTGCAAGCTCACTGAAAAAAAATGCTTAAAGATTGTTTTAAATTCACTTGATTCAAATGTGTACATTGTCTTCATATCTTACGTTACATCATCATAATTACTATGTATAAGTACTTAATTAACTTGCTTAAGTTCAGCATTTTTTCAGTGCTGTGATATCTGCCAAAAGGGGGCATTAATGATGTATTATTATGTCCAGACTTTTGCACATAAATACATATTTTGGGAACTTGAAGCCTTGAAGCATCCAAGGTGGCTCCTCATGAAGCAAATTGAGGACTTTGCTATAAATGGCTAAACTCACCAGTGATAAACTACCACCTACAAGCAGGCAAATAGACTGGAAACAAAACACTAGACAGTGATTTAATAAAGGCCTTGATTTATGCCTTTTAATTTTGTTCTCTTTTTAATTTATGAGGTCCTGAATGGAATTCAATAAATTAACCAAAACCATGTGACTCACTCCCTGGGTCGCACAGTTTAGGTTGAAAGACAGAGAAATCCAGAATGATTATTTGTTACAATTTAATCAGTGTTTACAGTTATCAGTACTACATCATTATATACAGTAATCAGTAAATATATAAAAGATGGCTTGCTAACATAAATTATTTCAGATTTATTGGCAATTCACATCACATGCTCATTCTTCTGAAAACACTTAATCACAGCACGGGTCATATCTGAAAGGAAAAGACACACACAGACACACACACACACACTAATGAGAGTCTGATATTAACATTTAATTAATTTTCCAGCGCTTTTTTCAACCTAATGTCCATCTAACACAGTTGTATTATTCCATCAATTAACACGGACAATAATTTTGACACCTTTCCCTGCACTTAGAAATGAACACAAAACTCACTGACTTGAAACATACTTATAATACAGTATTGTGTATAAGTGATTAATGTTCCAGTCAAAACAGCCATTAAGTATAAGTCATTCATTTTTCAGCATCATTAAACAATCAGGAAATATATATTTAACAGATAATTACACATAAGCATCAACAACTAAAAATAATATCTGATACCAAAATTACTTGGAAAAAATTCTGGTTCCATTGACTTACATTAAAAGTAAAGTAGGTTTTTTCCTTCTCCTGTAAAGTTACCATTTTGGAGATACGAGTTTTTCTTCCTTTGCATGCTTAAATGGTTCTTTGCATGGTGAATAGTTCAAAACAAATGTCTGTTTATTTTACACATAAGCATCAACAACTAAAAATAATATCTGATATTTCAGTATTTACTGTGTCCACTCTTTACCTTTATTACAGCTTCCATTCTTTTCAGGAGACTCACTTTCAGTTTCTCAAAGAAATCTGCAGACACACCTTCAAAGTTCAGTCTTAGAGGTTGGTTGCACTTTCTGCTTCTTGAGTTTGGGATTTTGAGTAATTTTCCATTAAATATATGTTTTCTGCTTTTTTCCTGACACTGAAAAATGAGTAACTTGCATTTAATGGCCATTTTCACTGGAAATTGAATAAACCAAAGGGTAGTCACAGAATTCGGCAACTGTCCATTGACTTCTACACTATATGGCCAAAAGTATGTGGACACCTGACCATCACACCTTGCTTGTTGGACATCCCATTCCAAAACCATGGTCGTTAATATGGAGTTCCCCCTCTTTACAGCTATAACAGCCTCCACTCTTCTGGAAAGGCTTTCCACAAGATTTTTGAGTGTGTCTGTGGGAATTTGTGCCCATAAAGTCAAAAGGGCATTTGTGAGGTCAGACACTGATGTTGGACGAGAGGGTCTGGCTCACAAACGACGTTCTAGTTTATCCCAAAGGTGTTCAGTGTGGTTGAGTTCAGGGCTCTGTGCAGGCCACTGGAGTTCCTCCACACCAAACTCATCAAACCACATCTTTATGGAGCTTTTGTTGTGCACTGGGGCTCAGTCATGCTGGAAGAGGAAGGAGTCTTCCCCAAACTGTTGCCACAAAGCTGGAAGCATAGAATTGTCTGAATTGTATTTGAAAGCTGCATCACACTTCATTAGAATTATAGGGCCCAACCCCAACAGCCCCAGCCTATTATCCCTCCTCCACCAAACTTTGACACCATGCATTTCAGTAGTGGCATCCACCAAAACCAGATTTGTCCATCAGACTTCTAGACAGTGAAGTGTGATTCTAGAGCCAGTAACAGAACATAGGTGATTTTGCTACATGCTTCAGCACTCGGCAGCTCCACTCTGTGAGTTTTGTGGTCTATTGCTTACTGGCTGAGCTTATGTTGCTTCTCAATGCTTCCATTTCACAATAATAGCACTTACAGTTGACCAGGGCAGATCTAGCAGGGCAGAAATTTCATGAATTGACTTGTGGCAAAAGTGGCATTCTATAACAGTGTGTCGATTACAGTCACTGAGCTCTTCAACACGACCCAGTCTACTGCCAGTGTTTGTCTATGTGACTGAAACGCTTGTACTCAATTATTAGGAGGGATGTCCACATACTTTTGGCCATAAATGTTTCTTCATGGATTCTTTAGTAAAGAAAATGGTTTTACATAGAAATAACAGAGACCAGAACCATTTTCAAAAAGATTCTACCTAGAACCAAATACAACACGTTCTCCATCAATCTGAAGAACCATTCGGCATGCAAAGAACCATGTAAGCCTCCTGCACCCTTAAAAATATGGTTCCTCAAGGGCTAAATAGAACCATGAGTTATATAAAGAACCATATTATGTTCAATTGGTTGTTTGCATGATGAAATGGTTCTTCAGATTGATGGAAAATGTGTTGTATATGTGAAAATGGTTCTATATAGCACCAAAAAGCGTTCTTTTGTTATGATGTCAAGCTTGTAGCAATAGAACAGCCCTTTTTGGTGCTATATATAGAACCATTTTCAAAAAGGTTCTATATAGAGCCATATACAACACATTCTCCATCTGAAGAACCATTTCTTAATGCAAAGAACCCTTTGTGTGTGTATGGTTCTTTACACTCTTAAAAATGGTTCCTCAAAGGTTCTTTAGTAAAGACAGTGGCACTATAGAGAACCATGAATACTCAAAGAACATTTTGCATGATTAAAGCGTTCTTTGCATCGTGAAAGGGTTCTTCGGGTTGATGGAGAATGTGCTGTGGATGGTTCTATATAGAACCTTTCTGAGAAGGGTTCTACATAGCAGCAAAAAGGGTTCTTCTATTTTCGTAATGTCATTCTCCATCAATCTGAAGAACACTTTCAGGACGCACAGAACTCTTTAATCATGCAAAGGGTTCTTTGAGTGTTCATTGTTCTATATAAACCATTTTCTTTCCTAAAGAACCCTTGAAGAACCATCTTTTTTAAGTGTGTAGTGTATTGTAAGGTTTTGAGTCAGTGAGTGTTCAGTTTGTTCCTAAGTAGAGCAAAACCATGTCAACAGGCAGCAGATAGAGATCAGGATGAAGAACGCTGGAGTTCTCCTTTAATGTTTAGTGTAATGATTAATGGACTGATGGGGCAGCACCAACACTCCTTCCATGGCCTGCGCCAATCATCTCTCACCTGTCTAATTCCTGATACACATCCGTCTCTCCTGTGGGCTTTAGGTCCTGAAGGAGGGGAGGAGAAGGGCATAAAGGGATAAAGAAGGAGAAGAGGATTCCAGATTTATGGTTTGGCAGAGGTTTGTGCTGGCTCATCTGTTAATATTGCTAATGTAAGACTGACAATAAAGAGAGGGCTGGCACACAAACACCCCCTCACACATCCACACACACTCGACAGACTGTAGAACCTGAAATAAAAGTCCTCTTGGAAGAACAGTGATAACTCACCATGTAGATTGCACCATGTGGAGGTGACTATGGGCGAGAAAAACAGAAAGAAAGCACAAAAACAGTTAACGAGAGACTGGTGAAAGAGAGGGGTGAGCAAATGGTGGAGGCAGAGACACCCACACCAGGGCAGGCATGTCAAACTGGGGACCTTCCGGACCAAAGAGCTGCGGAGATTAGCGTTTAACCTCATCTAACACTCTGAAATCAGTTCATGGAGGCCTTACTAATTAGCTGATGAGCTGAATCAGGTGTGTTTAATGAGGCAGTGTGTTGAAGTCTGCATTGTTTTGGCCCGCGAGGACTGGAGCCTGACACTTGTGCGCTGGGGTCTGACCAATATGTCAATTTTTGACACTAATCTAATTCTGAAGCTAAAAAGGACGTTCCATCCCCGCTTTAAATTATGTAACCATGCAAAACAACAATTTGATTTTTTGGTTATTTTTAGTTTTTTAAAGTTTGACATGTTAGGATCTAAATTGTAATTCGAAGCTGCATTACGTTTTCTGGATCTTATGACCAGAGACGTCTCTGGAAGAGATGTGTAATTGCAGACAACATGCGGAAGAATATTCTGTTTTGTGGGTTGTGCTTCGGACCCCTTCCCCGAGCGGATGAATCTGAAGATTGTGAGCATGTTGAAGAATTCAAAGAGAACTAAACTTGTTGAAGGATGTGTCTTCATAACTTTATCAGTATAATGATAAATATAATGTTGATTTTGAGACCTAAACGTCGAGCCAAACCTACTTTTGTGTAAAGGCTTGTGACACCTCTGACTTTTAAATTATTATTTTAAGCTTAAAAGGGTGAATCAGCGTTCATTTCTGTTCTGAATGCAATATTTGAAGCTAAAGTCCACTTTGTAGGCCTTTTTGGCCTACGTTCTCCAATGGGACATACTTTCTTCAAACTGTTGTCTCTCATTAACATATACACTAAAAAAAAGGATTCTGTAATTTTTTAAATTTTTCATGGAAATCAATGACATGTCTGGGCAGGACTCAATAAATATAAACATTGTAGTTCCAGGGTAGAGCTACCCAGCATTCTTTATGGTTTTATGGGTTTTACTTAGTTAGCCAAATCAGCTGCTAGTATTTTTTGATATGTTCATTTTCGCTGTAAAACCATCTGCAATGTGTACTTTACAAACTTAGTTCACATATTTTTTCCACATTCCACATTTATTCGCTCTGTCTACAGTTCTTTAGTACATATTTGAGTTTTTATTTGCTGTCTGAGCTTTTGAAACGTAATATTTAAGAAGCTGTTACGGTTGTAGCCTACTTGATGTTTTGCTCATTCTTTCCTTGACGCGCAGAAACTTCGTCAAGGATCGAATCCCACGTCTTCTATAGTAATTTTTTGTTGAATTCCAAATGACCCTGAGCTCTGCATAAAATTGTGGAGGCAACAAGAGAGGAGAAAATGAATCTAGCTGCATAGATGACGATAACAGCAGGCTAACTAAGAATAAACGCTGGCACAAGCAGCTGTTTAAACAGCTGTTATATTGTCACTTGAGAAAGTGACAATATGAAAATCTACCAGCTTTGAGTCGGCCTCCTCTCTACCCGCCTAATAGACCATCTTCTGTTTTATTTTCTTGTCCACTAATCCGATGAGATCAAATTTGTTGTTCGACATGGTCATGTGACGCAGTATTGTTTTTATGATTGGCTGTTTGAGGGAACTTTACCGAGTTGAGACTATACTACAGTTGCGGCTGAGTTTCGAGTGAGTTGCAGGGCAGCCTTATTAATACTGGCTGTTTGTGCGGCCTTTTTTGCCAATACTAAGAAATGTTAATGGTTAACTTTAATATTGGTTGATATTATCAGCAAAACAATATATCGGTGATGCTCTAATACACAATCTATTCACCTGTCTCAGATCCTCTGGGTTTTCGTAGATGTTCTCCACTTCTCCAGAGTAGTGCGAGAGGGTGTGCTCCACGTCTACATCTACACACACACACACACACACACACACACCACTGAATTAATTTTGTGCACTTCACAGCCTCCGTCCATCATGGCTGACAGTATTCAGATCTATTGCGGACATACTGGAAGGAAAAAAAAAAGACAAATGACAGGACTCACTCCGGCGAAGGGAGCAACGGCCCAGTCTCCATAGCAACACCCCGACAGCCACGGCAATCACAGGCACCAGAAAGAAGAGAAGAGAGAGAGAGAGAAAAAGAGCAGATGGCACAATGCTACCCCCTGGAAGTGAGATAAGAAAAGCAGAGAGAGGTAATGTGAGCAGTCAGGGGCTCCCTGCCGCGCTCCTGCAGGGCCAACACCGTTTGGTGATTCCCCTGTTCAGAAACGTCTGATTCATTTCAGTGGTTAAAGCAACTGGCCAGTAATCAAATATGCCCAAAGTAGTTGATCAGCCAAGACATGTTCGGTGTCTGAAGTTTGCTTCTTTAGTTGTGCTAATGTTAATTGCTAATGTTAATTGTGCTAATGCTAACTTGATTGCCTAAATCATTACACACTTGCCTCTCAAACTGTGTTGAGTTTGTGTCTCTAATAGACTTGCTTTTATGGTTTTGGTTTCATTCTAAACAGTCAGAACCGGTGATGGGAACCAGACGTCTGAAGTGTTTAATGCCTTCAAAGCTCCCTCACAGAGCGTTATTCTATGAAATGGTTGTGAATTTGTTGCCTGATGCCTCAGACATTGTTTTATGATAGCTTTAAGAAAGTCTAAGAGAGATACAACAGGGATACAACAGGGGGAGCTGTATCTATCTATCTACCTATCTGTCTGTCTGTCTCTCTACCTATCTGTCTGTCTATCTGTCTGTCTGTCTGTCTGTCTATCTATCTATCCATCTATCTATCTATACATTGCAAGACACATTATAGACCAAAACAATTTTCTTTTTTTCATGATATAAATTATTGTGATTTTGCTTTACACACACAAGAAGCCTCACATATTCCCTGATAGCACAGTGGGCCAATTTTTGGCAAAGCTGGTGGTCCACTGACGTTTTGCTCAGCATTTTCCGGGCGGCCCACTTGTTGTTAAGCAGAGTAACTGGTTGTTAAACAGTGTCAGCAACAGCATTTTCAATAAAATCATTTTATATCAGGCCTAGTCGTTTTTTTTCTCTCTCAGTTATTTGTAACATTTGTCTTAGTTCTAAAATCAAAGGCTGTGCACATTTAAAATCTGTGTGAGGAGATTAAAAACTAGTTAGAGCTTGTGTGCAGGACAGTAATTTGGGTGGTCCAAGGGTGGACCAGCATTGGCGTTACAGTCGGCAGGGTGCCGACCTAATCAAGCCAGTGGACTGATATTTGCTCGCTATCTATATCACATACTATATAATGATTCATAGCATATTTATTAGAGAAATTAAAATGTGTTTCCCCTTTTACATCAGCTTATATTCTTTTCAAAAACTTGGTAAATTTGAAAGTGTTACAAGTAAATATAGCATTTGGAATTAAACTAAAAAATATTTAACAGAAAACTACACAGAAGCCTCAACAACCAAATTTTATGTATGAGTATACCTACACATATACATATATACACGTGTTTACACACACAAACACACATCTGTTTACATCTCAACCACTGAAATATGAAGGAATTTCGAAAAATCTATGGAATTCCTCTGTGAACTCTTGAAGCTAAAGCATCTTGAAGCCTGTCTATTGACAAGCAAGCAAGTGGCTAAAAGCCTTCATTACTGGTTAGCTACATTAGCCTCATAGCTCCAGTGCAAAACTACACCAAAACATGTTTTGACTGATTGATTTGTGGTAAAATTACCACAGTTTTTAGCCAAATCATCTCTTAATGAACAGTACTTGTAAGCATCTTGGCACAGGAAAACTTTAAATGTGGCCGCTACTGTGGTAAAAAGTCTCGGGTCACTATGTGTGGGGGTGTAGTTGCAGCACTGACCAGCAGGTGTCAGCAGAAAGCCTGTAGAGTCTGTGGTGGGGCTGGTAGGCCGCTCGCTCACACAGCAAGGTCGCTCTTTATAGGACAGGCAGGAGAGAGCAGAAACTGAGATTTACTCACTCTACTTCTGTAAAAAATAAAAGGAGCATCTGTGCTCCAATGTGTTAAAAAGCTCCTGAAGAAACCAAACTCTCAGGTATTGTGAATGGAAAACCCTGAAAAGCAGGCACAGCAGAGAGGGAGGGATAGAGAGAGGGAGGGAGAGGAAGAGGGAGGGAAAGGCATTACGTAATGCTGCTGTCCTCAGTGTATTCAAATTTCCCCCAGTGCCTGTGATGAGGCGATAAGCCTAAACTGGATTTGCATGCGGGCTTGAACTGACATCATCCATGCAAACAGAGCCGCAACGTTTGGACATGTCGTGTTTCAGCTTCTTTGGAAGATGACTAAGGAGATAAAGATGTAATATTAGCCCACTGATTTGAGTCACATGGTCATGGAATCTGCTTATTAGCTACAAGACTATAAAACATGGGCCTTAAAGGGGAACGCTACCAAATTTTCAAAAATTCAACATAATTAAATGGTTGAGATGTAAACAAAGTCATTCAGAGTGGTTTAGTGTGAAATGTTATTAGATTAAATGGTTACGAATACACTGCCTGATATCTGATGCGCTGTTTTATGATAGTTTTGTGATAAAGTTTTGGCTTAAAATGTATTTTGATCCATTTATTTTCATCTATTCATGGTGGAGAGGTACATGTAGGGAGCTGTAAGGCAAAATAGTCCCCAAATAAACCTATATACATCATCAATGCTACATCTAAAAACTCAGACGATGTGTGTAGGTAAGTTAACTGATGGTTTTGGACAGTAAATAAAATGGCTATATTTGTGTTGTAGACATGGTGACCCCTGGTTCCTATCACCACCACTGTAAAGAAGTTTGAGTCAGTAAGTTTCTCCACAATGAACAATTTCACATCAAACCACTCTGCATGACTGTTTACATCGCACAGACTGAATTATTCAGGAATTTCAAAAAAATTGGTGGAATTTCCCTTTAATCAATACTAATGGCAGCAGATTGGCCGTAATTGATGGTTTGAGTCACGGTGGATGAAGTGGTTTCAGAGTGTGACCTGTCTGATGAACCGTGGAATTCCACGGCCTGATCTGATAGAAGAATGATGGTGATTAGATTGAAACCGATAGTTCAGTCAATAACGCTAATATTGCTTATAATGTAAAAATAAAAGAAAGCCAATAGCCATCAGTTAGCATTATGAGAATGACATCATGCTAAATGCCATCCAGCCACCATTCATTGTTAGCAGCATTAGTATGTTTGGGTACCCTTAAAGGGGGATTCCACAGTTTGTTTTGGCACCCCCGGCCAGATTACACACTTTGTTGATTTTTTAAGTGAGAATAAGTGAACACCTCTACAGAGAACACACGCAGGCACATTTTAATGCACAATTACTGTTTATTTGCTAAATTTAACATATTGTGGAAAAAAGTAATAAAATGTGGCCTGTGCAAAAGTTACGGCACATTTTATAGTCTGTTTTTTTCCAATATGTTAAGCTCGACAAACAAAAATAAACCGTGCACTACATTTTGCAGGAATATGTCATATTTATGTGTTCCCTGTAGACGATGTGCTAAAATATTTTCACGTAGAAAATCAACAAAACACGTTATTTGATCAGAAAAACGTATCAAGTCAGAATTGTTCACAGTGATGGTGAAGGAACCAGACATCTGAGACTTTAATGCCTCTAGAAGCTACTGCACAGAAAGTTATTACATGAAATTGTTATGAATATGCTGCCTGACGTCTAAGACATTGTTTAACAATAACTTTGAGATTTCAGCCTAAAACATACTGGACATTAAAGAGGTTCATGGCGAAGAGGCACATGCAGAGGCACTTACTTTTTCAGATCTACTGCTACTTTACCAGCATCATTTGAAAACTCAGAAGACTCGTGTTGGTTCACTGGTGGTTTTGGATAGTAAATAAAATGTGTATATTTGTGTTGTAGTCATGGCGACCTCTGGTTCCCATCACCACCACTGTAAAGACATCTGAGCCTTGTCTTTAATGTCATAGTAGATATGCTGTCTTTGCTCACACACACACACACACACACACACACACACACACACACACACACACACACGTATTTTATCTCTATCTTGCTCCATCAATCCCTGACATTTATAGTATAATGTTTATCTACGGTATAAATTGAAGTTAAAAATCTGCCAGATAAAAATTGTTACAGTATGTAAAATACTGTCATGTCATGTTTCGCTGCCCGTACATTTGTACTGCAGGCATTCTGTCTCCAGTGCATAAGTAAACTCACAGCCACTCCACATTTGGTTGATGTTAGGGGGCCAAGCATTAACACGTCAATGAATATAACTTCAGAAACTGACCGTGTAGAGTTCAAGGCTGAGTTGAGTAATAGTACTGCATTATGTACTTAAATAATTGTACTTCATTATCATGTATTAACTTATTTATTAGGTATTAACTTAGAAGATTTACACTTTGATTGAATATTATTGAATTTAAATAACACATATACTCAATTACATTTCCAAGAGATAAACACACTTTTTACTCTTTATATTTTCATTTAGACCTTCAAAGTCTGTATTATAAACCTCTAAAATGTGGATTCTTTTTCTCTTTCTCTTGCTAACCAGTGTACTGGAATCTATATAGTGTTTATTAAAGCACTCAACCAAATGTATATAATTGTAAAATGCAAATGCCATCTATCTATCTATCTATCTATCTATCTATCTATCTATCTATCTATCTATCTCTGTAAACTCCTCTTCCACTCCTAGAAAATTGACTGATTTCTCTTCCTCAACTTATGGTCTTGTGAATCACTGACAGACAAAAACTGGACTTTACAAATCAGTCTGGTCAGTCTGATCCTGTTTCTGATCCTTTTGCTAGTCAACCTTTGAAGTTATTTGCTTTAGAGAATAAAGCCCTAAATTATAATAATGTCAAATTTCTGAGTGGTGTATGACGCTGTATAAATTCACATTTTAGGTGAAACAAAATGCACAATTGCTTGCAAATTTCCATAATACGCCAACATTAGCCAAAAAGCCCTCTTTGGTATTTATAGGCAGCAGTATCCTGAATTGCCAACCGCAAGCTATCTTTACCACAGTACAAGTTAGGTAATACTGCATTATGGCTGCACAATATGTCTTTGTTAAATGTTATTGAAATATTGGCTTTTGCATTGTTGACATTGCAGACATCAATACTGTAACATTTGCAGACGGCTGTTTTTGGTGTGCAGAGTATGTGACCGGAGTGGATCGGCAGACATTTCTGCTCTTCACTCAAAGCATTCTATAATCACTCCAGCTCCACTCCGGGTTTTCTATTTCTCACTCATTACTCAGACATCAGAGAAAACTCGTCCATGTCCGCCCCACATGATTCATTCTTATGAAATTTTGTTTATGTCTTGAACGTAAGGAGAAGACACCACACGCTTCGTTTCATTTTGATGTAATTTTTGTATGTTAAAGTATGTGGCTAAACGAAAAACTAGTTTGTGCTAATTCTGTGCTTCACAGTTTTTTTTATTTGGCGGGTTTAGGCTTGAAACGCCAGAAAACTGCCAAGGGTAAACAAATGCACATCATTTTAACACAATCTTTTTCATCGTTGTCGACGTCAGGACTAGGTATATGTGCAGATTTTGTTGTGATCGGTGAGAACTTCCAGTATGTAGGTCTGCTGAACAGTTCTGCAGCCCAAACGCTGTGAATGAAAGGCCGTTGTGTGCTGCCACATCCCTCATGCCACGCAGAGGTAGTCAGTGCGGAACAAAGGACTGGCTCATGGGATGGAGCAGCATTAGAGTGATTTTGGATGGAGAGAAAGACGCTCTGACTTTCTAAAAACACTTCGTGCTCTGCAAAATCATGCTATCCCGCTCCTCACTCCGCACCACTCGCACAGTCTGGTGCTGTGAACATGCTCAAACTGCTCTACAGGTGATTAGACACTTGCAAGTAATTTTTATCACACAGATGTCTTTAACTATGTTGTTTTAAAATTCACTTGCCATCAACATATCATAAAGGATGTCATATGCTGTATATCGTGAGTTGTCATGACAGATTTTGTTCAGTAATACTATAAAACAATAAGTGCGTTTACATGCACTCAATAATCCAATCATAATCAGATTTCTGCAGTAATCTGATCATTCGATCGGTCATGTAAACAGCACACTCTGATCAGAGTAAGGGCTGGAAATCCGAGTAAGAAATCTGATAAAGAGGCTGGATTTTAGCTCAGTAATCAGATTTCTCAGTGCATGTGAACTCTTACTCTGATTTCTTTCGTATTTCTCCATCTGCACACGTGCGAAAACAGACGCGAGCAGCATCGCCGTGAGATGCAACAAATCACTTTTGGAGCATCGCTGAAACTACATGCTTGACGAAATTAAAGAAAGTTAGAATTTTATGTTACGTTTACGTCACGTCTATTTCTGTGAGATTACTGGCTGGTTGCAAAGCAGAAATCTGATTACTGTCTGACTCGTGTAGACCCGGAGTTTCACATTATCTTATTACTCAAGTGCATGTAAACGCCTTGATTAGATCCCTCACAAAATCTGATTTTCTGCAGTTATCGGATTATTAAGTGCATGTAAACACATTCAACGTTATGGTACCATTACTGTTAATTGTCATCCCAGATGTCATAATGTGTGATGTCATGATGACTAACGAGTATATTTAGCAAAAATATGCATGTGACATAAGCTGTCACAACATAAAACATTATGACAGCTGTCAAGACAATTACTGGTAATGGTTACATGACACTTTTTTTTTTATTTTTTTATTTAATTTAGTCATATCTAATTCCACCTACTAGTTAGGACTCCCCCGGTCACATGATACCACCAAAGCTAGGAGGGCAGAGACTAGCATCACCTTTCTCAGAGACCTGTGAAGCGGCACCGCACCTTTTCCGAACTGCTGCTAACGCAACATCAATGGACAGCTGAATGCATTTGGAGGACAGTGCCAACCACCAGCTCTGTTACGTCAGCTAATGGATGCCAGAGTGATGAGGGGCATCCTACCCACCCAGAGAGAGCGTGGCTAGTTGTGCTTTCTTGGACTCTCTGCCTTGGACGGCTGTAGCATTACCAGGGATCGAACTTGAGACAACGTTTAGATGGTTGCGCCTACATGACATTGTTATATTACCGAACAAAATTTGTTATGATATGTTTATGGCATGGTTATGTAGTAGACTTCAGGTAAAGTATTACCAAACACCTCAGTCGTGATGCTTAACATGGACACACTGTCACTGATGCACAGCTCTCATCAAGCTTTTTTAGAGCGAATGGTGCCACCTTGTAGAGAATTTCCAGCCTGCTAAACATGAGTAAGTGAGTTACAAGGCAGTCCAATTAAGGTATTTCCGTCTGTATTGTGCATCCTGTCCTACACTGAATAAACTTAGATAACTAAATAATCTAGTAAATGTAAGTATCTAATAAGTCAGAAGTGACAGTGAACTTTCTTACCTGGAGGGGGCAGTGTGACGTTGTACGTGTAACTTAGCGTTTGCGAGTTATCCAGCTCCAGTGTGCAGGTGTACTGGCCGGCCGTCTCAGGGGTGACCGGGAGAGATAATGAGACGGTCAGCGTGCCTATCTTGGCCTTCATTGGTAGCTGAATGTCAGGCCGCTCTACATGGGTCCACTTCGCCTGCTTCACCTGAGAGCGCTCACAATACTTACAGGTCAGATCCAGAGTGGAAGAGGAGATCTTCTCAGACCCTGAGTGAGAGAGAGGTTAAAGAGACAGAAAAGGAAAAGGCAGAGAGAGAAACTACAGATGAAAGCAGAAATGACTTTTTGTATCACATAATGGATACGTTTATTTTTAATAAAAGAATTTGATGTATTATGTAAAACTCGTGTGAGCCAGGAATGGCACGATGTTTAACATTTTCCCCTATATCTTCCACCTCAGTAATAACAAAAATATATACAGGTGTGTGACATCACAACCACAAAAAGCCAAGCTAGCCCTTTCATTGGTTAGGGCTTGGGCTGAACTGGGCTGAAGGCCTAATGTGTCATATAAACCAAGAGAATAATTAGGGAATCTCAGTGGAATCAACCACTCTTTCCAAAGACAAAACGCCACTCTAGATCTTCTGGAAGTCCCTGATACATCACTGACTTCAAATATAAATGGCAGCCTAACCATTAAGTTTCTGTTCGCTGTTAGAAATGGGAATCAACAGCATGCCAGGGCGGAGTCACAGCTACAAACAAGGTAAAATAAATGTTAACATCTCCAACAACCTTTAAATAAAAAAACCCTGAAATGTATGGCTGTATTTAATCTAGAAAGGCCAAAAAGTGCTCATGTGTTAGCTAACATACTATTAGAAATCCCATTAGGGGGCTAGCAGAAATTAGCTTTACCATAGAGGTGTTTCTTTGACTGCATTTTGAAAAAAAAGGCAGATGGGGTTAAACTGATGCGTATTCATTAGATGGGTGTGCAGCAGGCCAGGCGGAGCTGTGTGTGACTGATGTGTCGTGTCTTCTTACACTCAAAGTAGAATCAATCTTGGCCTAATTGAGCCCACCGGTTACCAAGGCAATGCTGTAGCCGCCAGCGTCGTTGCGGCGACTGGCAGCAGGTGTAATTACATATAATGACATCTGTAATGAGGCCTAGTAAAAACCATTACATTACCGAGCCAGAGAGGAAGAGGGTGTTTTGAAAGGCAAAGAAATGATGGTGAATGAAAAAGTAGGAAACATGTAAGAGAGGATCAAGGAAGAGGGAGTAATTAAGCAGGAGGGAGAGAGAAAGACTGATCGGCTGCTGTACGCTGGTCAGCTGTGATTGATTCCACAGACTGTGTAATTAGGAAACAAACTCAAGGCCGGTGAGGTCACACGGGGGGTGCCCTGGCCTGCCTGCGAGTGGATGTGGTGGGAGATGAATGAGCCTGTTAATGTGTTGGAGTAGCATCAACTTAATTTGTTGTGTTGCTAATAACACTACATCATTTTTCTCAATGACCTTCTTCTATTGTGTGCTAACATTTATGTTTTATAGGCTCTATATATGTTCTGCTAAACGTTCTGTCCCATAGTGCACTGACCCTGGGGGATAAAATGCTAATTAATTACCAGAAACTTTTTTGAGGTACGCCCCAGTGGCCTTTCTGCTAGTGGAATGGAAATTTTTCAAATCAGTATAATAAAATATTTCCCCCTGTAACTCATGAATTTGGACACTGTTGGCTCTGAAATGTTGGAACTGTGTTGAGCTGCTAGTGAGCAACGAGGGGTGAAGAAAACTGTTCACATCTCTCCACAAAGACGGCCTTGCCGAGATAAAACTGACAGCACTGTTACAAGGTTGCCAGGTCCAGAAAAGTTCCCAACATGACCTTAAAGTCCACCGACCAGAAGCTGAAACTAACATAATGTTGAGGATGGATTCAACTGCAAAAGAAAGAGGTTGTAAATTGTGCATATACAGTATGGTGTGAAAAAAAAAAGATATGCTTGAATAAAAAACTGGACTTAACCACGTCTAGGAGAAGTACCTGACATCAAATCTCAGACCTGACGGAGGTTAGTGAGAAAGAAGAAAGCGAGGTAGAGTTGCTTAAGCTTTCAATTAAAATTAATACTGAATTTAACAGAACTTAACTGAGAAAATATATGTCACTGTGACCAACAAATTGTCACCTAGCTTATTAAACATGACTACAGAACAAAATCACACTCTCTGATTGACCAGCTGAGACTGAACTGGTCTAAAATCTGTGTATTTGAATAATCCATTTATGACCTTGCAGCTTATCTAAGAGAGAGAGGAGACAGCACTGTTTGACTTCAGTACCTTTTCCTGATCTGTGTCTGTTGTAGGTAAATGGATATAATGTTTGTTATACTAGCTCTGTGTTTAATACAAATTACAAAGAGACAGATCTACTGCCTGAGAATAAATGAAAAGAAATGTAAACCATAATATAAATATGGATAATTTGAACAAGTAATGTAGATTTATTGGGGAGGGGGGCTAAATAACATTTAGAGGAGTCTAAAGCCCCCCTAAAACTGGTCTAGCGATGCCCTGACTTGTTATAAATGTAGTACTAAAAGACTAAATACTGTAATACTGAAATACTAAAAATGCTAAAGTTAGTTATACTAAACTTCCAACAAAGCTTGGATAAACAAATGAACAGGCGACAGGCGGCTACAGTCAGGTGGTCTAGCTTGCTAGCTTTTGTCTATGCTGGGTTAGCTTAAGCTTGCTAAGTTTCTCTGACACTGTTTTGTGTGGGCGGGGCAAGAGACGCAGCCTTGTGATTGGTGTGGGGAATGCTTACGGAAGCGTTACCCACTTTTACTACCGCGCAGTTTACAGTGAGGTCAGAGAAATATGGTAAAATACAGCAAACATTTATTAGACTTTGGGAACGTATTCATAAGACATACTTTGTACATGTATATTTTTGGGCCCAGAGTAAAAAAAGATTAACTTAAATATAAAGAAAACTCAGATTTAGGTTCCCTGGCACTGTAGTGCAGAGCTGTCTGAGAGAGAGAAGGTCACAGTAGGTATTCATTTGTGGTTTTCGGCCTTGTCCATTACGCACAGAGATTTCTCCAGATTCCCTGAATCTTCGATAATACTATGCACTGTGTGAAATACCTAAAATCCTTGCAATCCCTGACTGAGGAGCGTTATTTTTTTAAACTGTTGGATTTTTTGCTGATGCATTTTTGGCAAAGTGGTGATCACTGCTTTCTGATGTTATTTTCATTTTACCTACTGTCCCAACTTTTTTAATTGGGTTTGTTCACATCAGCTTAATTTTGTACTTCACTAATAAGCTTGAACCTATCACAGTGAACATAAGCTAATAAGTGATAATAATTTATAGCGACAGAATATTGCCCAGTCACAGTGCTTTGTGTGCCATTACCATGTAAAACGGTCAACGTCGTGGACTGGCCGAACACAGCATCGTCCAGGAAGACCTCGCACTGGTAGCGACCTGCATCCTCCAGCTTTGGCCTCAGGTGGAAGGAGAAGTTTCCTCCACCTTCCACGGACGAGGGGCCTAGCAACTGGAAATTAGACCTGTTATGCTTTTTGTGATTCCTCCAGCGGTCAAACTGGAAGACCAGCTCTGGATTCGAAGTATGCTGGTCTGGTTTCCACCAGTAGAGCCGCACGTAGTCGCCATAGACGGGAGGGCAGGGAAGAGTGACCGGTAAACGGGAGAGAGATGCCTTGCTGCCTGTAGAGTCTGTAGAGGAGTAAAGGGTTTAGGGGAGAGAGCGAAGTCAGGAATAGAGGCAGATAAAGAAGAAGGACACAGACATGGCAGAGAAAGATAATGAAGCAGAGTGGAGGATAACCAATAACATCCATTACTGTTCAAAAGTTCAGTATCACTTGTTCATATTAATACTTTTTGTTATTTTATTCAATAACTGCTTACACATTTTCAGGGGACATTGAGAGATTTAAAGTAATTAGCTATTATCTAAATAGCTTGCGCTTTTTGAACCAAGCCAACATACAATACAACGTACAGCGTTCATTCAAACACATTTGCTCCCATAGGAATGAATAAAGATATGCTCAATATCCTGAAACTGAATCATTTTTCTCATGAAAAACTCTTATTCCACCTCAGACATTATACATTATGTTGTCAAAAGTTTGTACACCCCTACCAACACCCTAGCAACCCACTGAAACACTACAGCAGCCACCTAGTTAAAGGCCAGTAACCACCTTGAAAACCATAGCAACCCCTAGCAACAACTTAGCAACCATTTAACAACCCCCATCAACACCCTGGAATACCATAGCAACTGCAGAGCAACACTTTAGCAACCACCTGGGATACCATAATAACAGCCTTGCAAGACCTTAGCAACCAGCTGAAATACCATTGCTATGGCATAGCAATACTTTAGCAACCACTTGGGACACCATAAGAAAGGCCAGGCAAAACCTTACCAAGCAGCTGGAATCTCATTGCTATGGCATTTGGGACACAATAGCAAAGGCCAGGCAAAACCTTATCTAACAGCTGGAATACCATAGCTATGTGATACCAATACTTTAGCAACCACCTGCGACACCATAGCAATGGCCTAGCAACACCTTAGCAACCCTAACAACAAGCTGGAATACCATAGTAACTACCTGAAATTACAATAGACACCCAATTAAGTTATCAAAAACAATCAGCTGTGTCCTGCAAATTTTACAGTTTCCCCCTTAGTCCAAATATAGTTGATAAACCAAGCTAATTTAGCAGTAATGTAAGCTTTTATCTCACCAGTTAGCACTAAACAAATACTCTGTTAGCTGTAACTGATTTTATTTTAAAAATAAAGAGTAGAAGGTGAATTTGACAAGAGTGACGGTGCGATACAAATATGAGGAGAGGGAGAAAGAGATGGAGAGAGGAAAACGAGTTAGCAGACAGTGGGAACGGATAGCGATGCAGTAGCTAACTATCATTTGATTAAATCCCGCACAATAATCCTCAGCGCCGCTAGTGGTTTTAGTGCCATTGTTGCGCAGACAGTCGCGCCAATAGAGCCTTGTGATCGTGAAAGTAGAGTCACACAAGGAGATCGAGAACACAGAGGCAGGAGAATGAGGATTATCTTCTTAGGCTTTAAGAAGGTTCCTCAGACACACTCCACTCGACATCCACTCTGATCCAGCAACTCGGTGAGGGACACTTATGCGTGTGCGAGAGTGAGTTAGCAAGTGTGCTAAAGTGAGTGGCACACTGGGGTTATTGTGTGGAATGCTTGGATGGTTTCAGGTGGAACCAGGCTGTGCTCTGAGTTTAAATGAGGTTGGAGTGGGTGCTAAATCATGTTGACTGTGACCGGGAGAGTAAAGAAAGACGGTCTTACCGTATTTAATGTTTGGAAATGTTGCTGCTTCCCTTGCTGAGGAAGAGATGAGAAAGAGAGAGAGTTCTTACTGAGACTTTTTAATGGTAATGTCTTTAGCGTTAAAGTCATCAAAACAGCAGCAATTGAAGACAATATAGATGGTAACTCCTTAACAATCCAGGTTTATTTCATACAAAGGCTTAATATTCAGTAATTACAGGGACTTCAATGTAAACTCATGGGGCTATTCTCAGGTTAAAGAAGTGTGTAATAAAACTGTTAAGGGGTTAAAGAGCTAAAGTATTGAGATATATCTTCTGTTACGTTCCACCAATGTTTCCAGTCTTCTTCTAGTACTCAGTCTTCTTTGCTCTTGTGATAGCGTGGCGAGCCACCATTAGCAGAGTTTAACGTTTCTGATCCTGAAGTCATATTCCTCATCAGGAATACAGGATGCTGTGCATTGCTGAGTAATCAACTGAGGTATATAATCCACAAGGGAGGACAATGGTCTGATATTTAAGCTGGTGACTGCTGATTTCCTGTTCAAATTTTACAGCCTGGAGATTACTGATCAGTCTTGAGAATGGGCGAAAGCCTGAAAGGACGAAATCCTGAACCCGTCTGCTTAAACCTTCAGCCTGGTCTTATGAAACGTTCTCCACCCGGCCATAATAACCGCGCTGATCCAGGGTGTGCTGACACCACCTTCCCTGGTGAAGTAACTTAAAAGTTGCACAAGGCAGATAGGAATGACAGTTGCAGTATGAGGGTGTTACTGAATTGAGTGGTATGTTAAGGTCAGGCCTTGAAATATTTAACTATACCCAACAGGACCTGACTGTTCACATCAAGTCCACATCTCCCACCTGCTTTTATTTTCTCTGTTCTTTATCCCTACTTTTATTACCTTTAACAGTTTTTAATCTGGCACTCTCGAGTCACTGGCATTGCTGGCAGAGGTGCCCATGAGGCCAGTTGGTACAGACAGAAATTTGGGTTATGACATAATTCTGATGAGCTACAATCAGGTTTGACCATAAATCAGTCAGGACACAGTCGGGTTCAGACAGAATTTTGTCAGGATACAGTCAGGATTTTGTCAGGATACAGTCAGGTTCAGACCGAATTTTGTCAGGATACAGTCAGGTTCAAACAGAACTTTGTCAGGACGCAGTCAGTTTCAGACCGAATTTTGTCAGGATACAGTCAGGTTCAAACAGAATTTTGTCAGGACACAGTCAGTTTCAGACAGAATTTTTTAGGACACAGCCAGGATTTTGTCAGGATACAGTCAAGTTCAAACAGAATTTTGTCAGGACACAGCCAGGTTCAGACCGAATTTTGTCAGGATACAGTCAGTTTCAGATAGATTTTTTTAGGACGCAGTCAGTTTCAGATAGAATTTTGTCAGGATACAGTCAGGATTTTGTCAGGATACAGTTGGGTTCAAACAGAATTTTGTCTGGACACAGATTCAGACAGGATTTTGTCAGGACACAGTCGGGTTCAGACAGAATTTTGTCAGGACACAGTCAGGATTTTGCCAGGATACAGTCAAGTTCAAACAGAATTTTGTCTGGAACAGTCAGATTCAGACAGGATTTTGTCAGGACACAGTCGGGATTTTGTCAGGATACAGTCAAGTTCAAACAGAATTTTGTCAGGACACAGATTCAGACAGGATTTTGTCAGGACACAGTCGGGATTTTGTCAGGACACAGTCAAGTTCAGACAGAATTTTGTCAGAATACATTCAGAATTTTGTCAGGATAAAGTTGGGTTTAGACAGAATTTTGTCAGGACACAGTCAGGATTTTGTGAGGACACAGTCAGATTCAGACAGGATTTTGTCAGGATACAGTCGGGTTCAGACAGAATTTTGTCAGGACACAGTCGGGTTCAGACAGAATTTTGTCAGGACACAGTCAGGATTTTGTCAGGATACAGTCGGGTTCAAACAGAATTTTGTCAGGACACAGATTCAGACAGGATTTTGTCAGGACACAGTCAGTTTCAGACAGAATTTTGTCAGGACACAGATTCAGACAGGATTTTGTCAGGACACAGTCAGTTTCAGACAGGATTTTGTCAGGACACAGTCAGTTTCAGACAGAATTTTGTCAGGACACAGTCAGTTTCAGACAGAATTTTGTCAGGACACAGATTCAGACAGGATTTTGTCAGGACACAGTCAGTTTCAGACAGAATTTTTTAGGACACAGTCAGTTTCAGACAGAATTTTGTCAGGACACAGTCAGGTTCAGACCAAATTTTGTCAGGACACAGCCAGGATTTTGTCAGGATACAGTCAAGTTCAAACAGAATTTTGTCAGGACACAGTCAGGTTCAGACCGAATTTTGTCAGGACACAGTCAGTTTCAGATAGATTTTTTTAGGACACAGTCAGTTTCAGACAGAATTTTGTCAGGATACAGTCAGTTTCAGACAGAATTTTTTAGGACACAGTCCGATTCAGACAGAATTTTGTTAGGACGCAGTTGAGTTCAGACAGAATTTTGTCGGGATACAGTCAGACATTTGTCAGGATACATTCAGAATTTTGTCAGGATAAAGTTGGGTTTAGACAGAATTTTGTCAGGACACAGTCAGGATTTTGTGAGGATACAGTCAGGTTCAGACAAAATTTTGTCAGTACACAAGCGGGTACAAACAGACTTTTGTCAGGACACAGTCGGGTTCAGCTAGCATATTGTCAGGATTTTGTCAGGATAAACTCGGAATCAGACAAAATTTTGTCAGGACAGTCGGGTTCAGACAGAATTCTGTCAAGATGCAGTCTGGTTTAGACAGAATCTTGTCAGGATACAGTTGTGTTCCGACTGAATTTTGTGGGGCTACAGTCAAGTTCAAGCATTTTGACAGACTACATTCATTCTATACAGTCTGACTCAAACAAAATGTTGTGTAGAGTTTGGTCTAGTTTAAAATTTCAGGCCCAATGAAAGCCCTAATTGAAATGAAGTGGCATCTCACCATTTACTGTCACATTCAGTGTGTGTTTGTACACACGCTTGCTGCCCTGGCCGTGAATGTGGATGCTGCAGGTGTAGAGGCCATTGTCCTTACGGCTGACCTGCGGCAACTTGGTGAGCAGGGTGCCCAGAGCAGGAACCACAGTTAGTAATGGGACACCTGCGGGCGACAGCCACATCCCACCGGCAACAGCATAGTAAGGAGAAACCTGAGCTGTCAACCTCACCGTACTGCCCAAACGGATGGAAGGAGCGGGAACTAAGGTCACTGAGAGAAACAGAGAGTTTTCAGCGTTACTGGAGTTGAATACGTTTCACCAGTTGAGTTTGTGTTATGTAATTTGTGCAGGATTTGACTAGCTGATTGGTACAGGATGACGTATATGTGTATATATTTCTAAAAATTCCTAAGGTGGATTGTAACAGGATTACTATTACTGAGGGACTTCCAGGTTTAGCCAATTACAGAAAATACAGATCATATTAAAATCAAGGACCACATTGGGAAGCACATTATGGTACCTCTCCTAGTAAAACTAATCCAGCTCCATGCACAATTTGTCAACTGCCCATTGATGAAGGGCTAGAGGATGGCTTATACAAATCACAGTTTTAGATGAGTATTTATGAGGGTGTTTTGATAAATCATTCAAATAATAAAGCTAAATTATACTGTTCAAAGTAATGCAGGTCCATTTTTAACCATGTCACATTATTGATTCACCAATGCATGAAGGAGAAAAAGCAACATGTCGCAATAGAACCACAATACTTTTTTTGTCCATGTCAGACATCGAGTGGATTACTAACATTTAAGAAGAGCCAGAAGAATGATCTTCTCTTTCAGCTTCATGTCTCTCCGCTGCAGCAGACACGAGTACCGCCCCCCGTCTGTTGCTGTGGCGATGAATTGCAGTGACACATCTTCGAATATCTCGAATATTCTGCCACGTGTACTGCTCAGGGGTCTGTCCACCAGCCCCCTGCTAGTGTTCACTGAGAGCAGTGATGTCCACTGTTTCTCCTCAGACCGCATCATCATCCAGGTGACCCGTTCGGGGAGTTTGACCGGTTCATCAGAGCAGGGCAGGGTGACTGGTGTACCCTCCTGCACCATGACCACATCTGTCCAGTCATTCGCTACAACTCACAAATTTTTGACATGCTTTATTAACAGATACAGGTTTTTTTTTATTTTTGTACACTATGGTTTACAATTTTGGAATCACTTGTTATATTTGTAATAATTTTCTACACAATATCGACTATTGTGTTGATTGATATATTATGAATTAGCCACCAAATGCATTTTTAGATGTTTTATTCAATATTTTAAGTTTGGGAACAGTCAATAAATGCTAAAAAATACTGTGTCTATTTACTACATTTTTGCTTGTCTGCCTCAAAATGTGACCACTTTTGAAATATGAGGGATTCTGTATATCGCTGTTGTCAGAAGAAAACCTTGTATCTCCATTTTTCAGTTTTTGACATAATGTGAAAACACCTGCTGCCCTTTACATTGTGTGTTAATTTCAGGATGAATGGACCAAAAGAAACGGCCCAAAATCACTTGGAAAAAAAGTCTGGTTCCATTGACTTACATTAAAAGTAAAGTATTTTTTTTTAAGTTACTATTGTGGAGATGCAAAGTTTTCTTTCGACAACAGCGATATACCTTTTATTGTGATTTTGTTCTGGGCGTTAAATTTTATTTTAACTTTAACTTTCTTGATGTTATAGCTATCTCAGTCACTCTGGGATCATCTATGGCTCAGTAAATAATAATAATTATCAATAATAATTTCAGGATTCGCATATTACCATTATTTATACAGGTATATACCACCAAATTGTTTTTATATTACTGAAAACATTAATTGGTGTTTCCAAACTTTCAAACAAGGTAAGCCTATTGAACAGAGAAACCTCCAAAACATGCTAGACTCAATCACTTTGGGACCAAAATTGGGCTCCCATATTTTAGAGCTATCTAACAGAAAGCCTGTCTTATTAATGGCTATTATATGCTCAAAATAATGACACGTTCTCCTTAGTGTACATGCCTTAGTATTATTATTATTGTTCTTAATATGCTTTTCTACAAAAACAGAACAGAATAGCAGTGCCTACCTCTGTCTGGTGCAGATGGAAGCATGAGACACACGTAAATGAGCACAAAACAAAGAGAATAAGTTCTCATACTGCAAAATTCTAGTGATGTTCTCAAACAGAGCTAAGTACAGTGGAGTGTGAACATCACGCAGGAAGGGTTGATGCACATAAAACCAAGACAGGACAAATACTGTCAAGCGAGATAAGTCTGACAGCTAGGAAACATAATGTGTGTGGAAACCACATATATACACACACAGTCATGATCATTTATGTGTAGACACTCACACAGGAAAACGCCACCACTGCTGTGAGGGATTGATAAATAGACGAAACTACTCACGCGTACACACATACACAATGTTCTTCATGGGAAGAAAATAGCCTAACTGCAGAAGTTTTTCCAGATCCCTTTGTCCTGCACAGACAGCCTTCCGCTTTGAGTTTTTTGTGCCATGTCCAAATCTGCTTTACATTTGGTGCATTTTTATTGAATTTTCTTGAAAATGCATGCTGCACACTCGTTTGGCTCTGTTTGAGTGTATACTAACACACAAAATGCCTTTTCATTTCTAGTGAACGCCATTCCTCAACCTGAACATTCAATAAAAATGCACCAACTGTAAAGCAGATTTGGACATGGCACAAAAAACTCAAAGAGGAAGGCTGTCTGTGCAGAACAAAGGGATCTGGACGACCACCAGTATCGGAAGATATTGCATTTGTGAAGCTGTGAAATCGGTTATAAATTCTACATTCCTCTGAATTTCTTGTTCGAATTTTGATAAATAAATCTTGTGTTGTTCAACATGAAGCCTATTTAATTTCGTTTGCCAGGACATGTAGTTACTCAGATATTCACATCTCAAATGATGTCAATTTTTTTGGGACACCGTGTATAAGGGGTCCCTGACCTCTTTATCTCAAAGCCAAAATTCTGGGGGGGGCGGGGGTTCCTGAAAATAAACTAAGCAAGATGTTACGCTGGCCATTAGAAAAAAAGGACGGCAAAAGTAAAAAAAACAAGGAAAGCTCATTGTTTATCTGCTTCACCCGCAATCAGTGAGCTTTTGTCTTTGCTATTCTTAACTAACCAGAGATGCAGCACTGCTCTGCCTCAGGGTGGCGCTGTACGAAACTGGTTCACCCAGTTGATCCTTCATAGCCTAGCAACTATAACTATGCCCAGGATACCTCTGAAAAACTCTATATGCTCTAGCATATTTGTAAATCTGAAAACTAGCCCAAATTCCCAAGAGTTTGGTGGAAAGAGTGAACTGGTACTCATTTCTTAAGCTAAAGACAGAAGAGGAGACGTGTAAGACCTCAATAAATATGTGGAAGAGCGCATTAGCAAACTAGAAAAGAGCATTTCCAAAAGAAGAATTGATAAACATTTTGTTGACAAGCATCAGTGCTGCTATGGTGAGTGAGCATCCAGCTAGTGCTGGAATAGCCCGCCAACATGAGACCCTCCCGAATACCAGGGGGGTATTTTGCACAGCTATCTAGATGCCACACATTTCCAAGTCATGAAGTTAAAACAGTACTAAACTGAATACACTGTGCAAACAAGCACCACAGATTTAGCCTCAACCTAAGGTCATCAGGTTTTATAGTCTGAAGTACACATGAATACACTGCTTAGCGCTGTCCAGTGTATAGCTTATTTTCAGCTTTAGCAGTATTAGCAAACAAGCGAGCATTATATCCATGATAATGTTCAATTCCATATAACAGTGACATCCTTGTGCCCCAGCTTTTAATTATCTTATTTGTAATTCTGTCAGTTTAACACACAGGTACTTCAGATGGTCTTGTAAGAACTGTATAAAAACCAAATAAGTAGTAAGTTTCCTTTGTGGTTTTCTTGTTTCCGCCTGGTTAACATTTACTGTGTAATGTTCTCTTGCAAGTTTATGTGAACAAAACAGTCTAATGAAAACAAGACATTATTTTAGAGTAGCAGTACTGAGGAAGCCTGGGGCCACTGACTTTATTAATGCTAACTTCATATCAATATCAACTAATGCGGTGATGCTGCGAAATATTACCACTACTACTGTTCATCTAAAATAAACTAAAAGAGACTGACCCTGTTCCTTGTGTAAAATCAAAGTTATACTGTTTTTTCCATCTCATAAACAATATCAGTGTTTCTTAAAACAGTAGGGGAGCGCAGGGAACAACATGGGGCACAAATTATTTGTGTCAGCATATTGTGTCAGAGCTGTTTGTATAAATCACAAAATCCAGCTTATTACAAGCCCATTTCCAAAAAAGTTGGGACGCAAAATGTAAATAAAAACAAAATGCAATGGTGTGCAAATCATTTAAAGCCTATATTTAATTGAAAACAATACAAAGACAACATATCAAATATATCATATGTTGAAACTGAGAAATGTTATTGTTTTTTGAAAAATATATGCCATTTTGAATTTGATGCCAACAACACGTTCTGAAAAAGTTGGGACGGGGGAACAAAAGGCTGATAAAGTTGTGTAATGCTAAAACAAAATACCTGATAGTTGATTGACAGCAGGTCAGTAACATGACTGGGTATAAAAAGAGCATCTCAGAGAGGCGGAGTCTTTCAGAAGTAAAGATGAGGAGGGGTTCACCACTCTGTGAAAGACTGCATGATCAAATAGTGCAACAACTCAAGAACAACGTTTCTCAACATAAAATAGCAAAGAACTTTGCTTTTCATCGTCTACAATACATAATGTCATTTAAAGATTCAGAGAATCTGGAGAAATCTCTGTATGCAAAGGACAAGGCCAAAAAACAGTATTTGCTGGCCGTGATCTTTGGGCCCTCAGACGGCACTGCATTAAAAACAGACATGATTCTGTAGTGGAAGTCACTGCATGGGCTCAGGAACACTTCTAAAAAACACTGTCTGTGAAAACGGTTCATCACTGCATCCACAAATGCAAGTTAAAACTCTAAAACGCAAAGAAGAAATCATACATAAACAGGATCCAGAAACGCCACCACCTTCTCTGGGCCTGAGCTCATTTAAAATGGACAGAGGGGAAGTGGAAAAGTGTCCTGTGGTCAAATTTGAATTTCTTTTTGGAAATCATGGACACTGTGTCCTCCGGGCTAAAGACCACTCAGCTTGTTATCAGTGCACAGTTCAAAAAAAAAAAAATAAAATAAAATAAATATATATATATATATATATATATATATAGGGGAGCATTAGTGCACATGGCATGGGTGACGTGCACATCTGTGAAGGCACCATTAATTCTGAACGATATATACATGTTTTGGCCACATCTGGTGCCATCAAGATGACATCTTTTTCAGGGAAGGCCTTGATTATTTCGGCAAGACAATTCCAAACCTGCTTCCAGGCCTGCCTGCAGTCCAGACCTGTCACCACTGAAAACATTTGCCGCATTATGAAATGAAAAATATGACAAAGGAGACCCCAAACTGTTGAGCAGCTGAAATCCTATATCAAACCAGAATGGGAAAATATTTCACTTTCTAAACTACAGCAGTGTCTCCTCAGTTCCCAAATGCTTACAGAGTGTTGTTAAAAGAAGAGGTGATGAAACACAGTGGTAAACAGGCCCCCGTCCCAACTTTTTTGGAACGTGTTGTTGGCATCAAATTCAAAATGGGCACATATTTTTCAAAAAACAATAAAATTTCTCAGTTTCAATGTTTGATATGTTGTCTTTGTAGTATTTTTCAGCTCACAGCAAGTGCTAGTTTGGCTTAGCTGGTTTTACAGTGGATATTGACCAAGTGCCCATAGCAATCCAATTTTTCGGCTTAGGAGTTGATTTGGACGACGACACAAGATTCTCTAACAGTATGAAAGTCATTGGTGAGCCGTGGGACTTAACTGAGAGGACTTTTATCTGGAGTCACAAGGTAAAAAAGAGCTGTGTGTACTGGAGTGTGTGTGTGTGTGTGTGTGTGTGTGTGTGTGTGTGTGTGTGTGTGTGTGTGCGCGCCGGGGTAGGGATAAGCAAGAGTGAGAATTTAAGGGCCTATAATCTGAGTTGGTCTCTAGCTCCTGGGCTAAATGTCTTTACATCCCTGTAAATGTCTTTAATTAAAGCTAACAGAGTTATCACCGCCGCAGAGCGCTCGTACCACATCAGCTCCTAATTACCTCTGAGCTGACCAGAGGGGAGAGAGGGAGAGAGAAGGAGAGAAACAGAAGATGAAAGTGTAGAGAAAGAGGGGCAGAAGGAGATAGGTGAGGGAGAAAGTCAGATTATGGGTAGAACACAAATAGGGGGGAAAACTCAGAGCCATCAAAGTAGGACAGCAGCTAATGAAAACTGTGGAAGCGAACTGTGTCATGTAGTGGAGCACAAATGCATCTGAATCAAATGTAGTGACTTTTGAATGCTGGAATCAGATGTAATAGACCATAACATTGTAGCGCTGCTGTAGAAGAAGATGTGGAAAACACTGGGCATATGGGCTAATGCTCTTTTATTTTGAACAGGCAGTTCAACAGCAGCAGGAAAGGCCCAGTTCAGCGCTACCCCAACAATAAACCACTATAATATCTGTCTGCAGAGCTGAAGAGCCACAGTTTCACGCCAGCAGTTTCACTCCAGCAGATTCAAGCCAGTGGCGTTCAGCGCATTTGTAACAAATTTACGTTTGGCTAATGTTATATTTTAAGCTTTAGGCTGAAACAAACTTGGGTTTGAACTCATAAAGAGATTCACAGGATAAATATTACACAGACTACAAACTCATTCAATTACATTTCTGTTGAGTCCCAGATATATACTCACGGGCAATGCTGGCTCTATCCGATAAGCGACATAAGCAGCTGCTTAGGACCCTGTTCAGATTTTATGTGTGTATAACTGTTCAAAGCTGTGTTTGCTACTCATGTGCTGGCTGGCGTTTTTGAGTTCTGCTCAAAATTATCTAAAATTGTCGCTACAATTGTTACAGAAATTGTCGCTAAAATTGTTAAAGACAGAATGGAATGTTAATAAAATAAACATAATTAAGGCATGGACTCACGGGATTAGACTAAAGGGTTTTAGTCTAAGGTCCATTTAGTTAAAAGTCCCAACTGTGTTTTCAACTCTTACTGTGAACTAGTTTAGCAGAAGGATTCACATTACTAATGTGAGCTGGCTAGTTTGTAGCTAA